TTGCGTTCTTGTAGCAAGGGCGCCCCTCTTCAGGCCGTAAGTCTATCGCGTTCCCATGGGGGTCCCGGAACACGCCTAAAAAGGACAATTACTGAAAAGGCTCAGATAAAATTGGCATAGCCACAGTGCAAGCTCCACATTCATGCACAGCTGGCCAGCCTCTGATGCGTGCCAGGGGTAAAGACACCTGGATTTAAAATGTCACAGGGTCATATGGCTCACCCGGAAATGCGGAAATCTGGTACACTTTTGTATATCCGTTATTATCCACATCATCCAAGTCTTCGTACTCCTCTAAAGAGACCCACTTCAGCTTTCTCTTCTCCAATTCTTTCGAATAGTCAAAGTCCTCCGGCGGCCACTGCGGCCACGCATACCACCATCTGACAGCACCAAAAACACCGAGCAAATGCAACAACTGCTCCATGAGCAGACGGTACTGCTACTGCGAGGGGTGCCCCTGGTGTACATGAGGCTGCAGCTGATGCTGCTGCGGTTTCGCCTTGGTGGAACTGTGGAAGCGGAACTAAAAAAGACAAACACGAAGCAAAATGCCCTCCCATCGTTGTAACACATATCTGTACATACAGCTCTATGCGCATACAGTACAAGTATACTTTGTGCGCTAATCCAATGGGCGAGGGTTGAAAGAGTTTCTCCGACTTGCCGTCTGAGGAACTGAGCGACGAGCCTGTCCTTTGCGCTCCTCTTTTTGGGATCAAACGCCCCCATGCTGATCTCTTCTTCTTGCCCGTCCTCGTCGCTGTCTGCAGTGTCTCCGTTTTTCCTGCCAGCTGAAGGTGTACGTACATTCCGTGACTTCCCCTGCTCCGCCTTTGCATGTTGAGGTCTCGCCATTTTTGCCTTTCCTGCTTGCTTCTTCTTGCCTGGAGAGGTCCGGGACTTGGCCCGGCTGCTGGATCGGGTATCGGACTCCTCCCCACTGCTGCTTTCGCTGCTACTCTCGCTGCTGCTACTGCTGCTGCCGCTGCTGCTGTCACTACCGCTGCTGCTGCCGCTGCTGCTGCAGCTGCTGCTTCCACTGCTACTGTCACTGCCGCTGTTGCGTCTTTTAGATGCTGCGAACAAACGCAGCGAAATCAGAAAGCCCCAATCGCCCCTGCCTTTAAATACTATTTGCAAGGCTTGATTTGCGTGCACCACGCATATACAGAACAGCTCCAAAGGCCTCAAATAAAGAAAAAAGAACAAATAACGAGACGCACACCTAGAGCCCGTTCTGCCTTACTCTGGGCCTTGGATCTTGCTGGTGGTGCTGCTGCTTTGCTAGTCCCGTTCTGCTGCTGCTTTGGCTGCAGGCTCCCCTTGGCCGCCGCTGTTTCGGATTGGGCGCGGGGAGCTATGCGCATTTTCCGCAGAACAACATCATCATCTGAACTGTCAGATACAAGCCGGCTCTTCTTGGGGCCGCGAGGCCTCACTGGAGAGTCATCTTCACTGTCCAATAGCCGACGCCGCCCAGACCCTGCAGGTGCGGAGTCCGCCGCTCGAGGGGAAGCTGCATCTGTAGCTGGAGTAGCTTTGGGGCTTCCACTCCCCGCGGCTGCAGCAGACCCTGCGGGAGCTGCAGCGGCGCCTCCAGCCCGCTGTGGGGCCGCCGCATTGTCTTCAGAAACGCCGGCTGTGGCTGTCCCTGAGGAAGCGGTGCGTGCAGCAGCTGAGGGGTCTGTTCCTGAAGTTGCGGCAGCAGGAGGTCTTGCAGGCTCCTTTGAGGGCTTCAAGACGCAGCAGCAACAGAACGACAGAAATAACAGAATTACAAAGACATCCGTGGCGACCTCAGAATGGAGAGTCTCACTACTCTGCAGTTCGTTTTTGTGTTGTCCTGTCTTTTTCTCCGTGCAAAAGCTGTTCAACAATTGTGGAAACAGCCAATCAATCAGCTCTGTCCACTTCAGTGTGATTTCATTTATCTCTGTTTTTGTCTGTGGCTAACCCCTGCCTCTGTCCGTTGCTAATCTCTAGCCTGCATAGCAGAGAGAGCCACAAGACGGGACTAAGATGCTAGACGCTGAGACCGCAGCACTCGAGTTTGTGAGGGAGAGTTCACTTACTTCCATACTGCTCAGTCAACTTTTCGTGCACAGCCACGAACAGCCAGCTGCGGGCCAGTAGCAGCAAGAACGCCCTATGGAAGCGAAGACACAGCCCGCGGGACAGCGCCCTCCTATTAAGCCCAGCTACAGCACTTGCAAGCTGCTACAAAATATGTGGCGGCCTGCTGCCTGCAGGAGTTGCCTGGTGGAGTGCTGCTGCGTGTTGGGTGAGACCTAGGCAAGTCTAGCTGCTGCTGCTCCGGCTCATTTGGAAGGGGCCGCGAGGGGACTGCATGGCGCTTCAGAGATATAAGCCGCAAGGAGAAGGCCCGTGAGAAATTAAACGAAGGCGCGAGTCGTGCAGTGGTGTGGAACGACAGTCTCCACTCTAGTGCAACAGAATATGGAGAACCAGCCCCCGTCTGCGCCGGCACATTTGACGGAAACTTATGCGGCGAAACAGAGAAGAGACCCCAAGTAAATAAATGTAAAAGTATGAGGTATCCATGAACGGCGGCGTTCAAGGCTCCTGCTCAACTTGTAACTTACTCTGGTGTCCTGTTGGCTTTGCATGCCTTGGCTGGCGCCTTCACATGCGTTGCCAGGCCACGCTTAAAAGCGTAAGGAAAAGCTCACACAGATAAAGGAAGAATTTATATGGAACTTTAGTTGGTTCTTAATAAATGTAGGTCGCCTGGTCTTGGTATGTCCAATGTTCATGGAAGTTTCAGAACATTCAGTGCACTGCGTCCTTACGGAAGTCTAACGGGGCCTTATACTTTTCATGCAGTTGTCCCATTATCAGATAAAGGAGGGTGTCCAAAATTTCATAGGAGTGACAAGCTTGAGCCTCTCTCTGTTCCCACTTTTCGCCCCCGGTGTACCCCATGACGCTTCTGCCAGATGTTAAACGAGCAAATCAAGGGGAAACAGCAACAGAAGAGTTGCTGAATTATTCAGAAGAAGATGAAGATGATGGCTGGATGCCTTTTCGTCGCGCAGCCCCTGATTTCGTAAGCCTTCTGTGAGATGTAGCTTGCATTTGTTCTTGAGCAATATGTGTTTGTGGGTACTCTAACAGTTTGCATCGACATAGAGTAGGTTACCAGCAGAAAACCTTTATGTCAGTTGCGCCATTCTTATAAATAGCTTTTTGTGTTACCCGAGTCCTCAGGTGGAGGCAAAAGGAGGTTGGGACCTCGGCGGTTTCGTCTCTCCCTTCCAGTGCGCCATCACAGCATGCCTTTGAGCTGCCCATTTCTACAATGCTTCTTGAAGGAACTTTTGTGCAATTCTGGTTTTTTAGTGGTGCTGTTTCTTTTGTGTCTTGTGTTTGCTTTAAAAACGACCGCAGGGGCACGCCAGTGGTGGGCGCAGTTACTTCCACACGAGGGCTAACCTCCAAAACCCAACGATCAGTCACGAAGCCTAGATCATTTTGTCTTTGCCTATCTATTTTTAGGGGAAAATACGCCATATTGCGAAGGCCCTAGAACTGACGGAGAAAGACCTCGTGTATGAGTGCGTCTCCTTTCCCCTTATCATTCCCACAAAATACCGGAGATATTTATTTCATCCACTTTCTCCCAATCAAAGTATTATTATGGCTTCTGAAATGTGGATAGCAAACGGTATTTTTGCTTTTCTGACTGGCATGTTGTGCAGCTTAGGATGCGGCGACGGAAGACTTATCATCGAGTGCTGTCGCCTCACCGGCTGTAGGGGTACGCATTGTTTTCATTCTTTTGTTTTTTTTCGTTAATTTCTATGGCTCACTGCCTCCCATTATCCGTGACTGGAATAATTCGACGCAGCCGTTGGCCAGGTGGCACTAGGGCTGGCCATCTTGTGGTGTCTTGAGCTTTTGTGTCTACGCACATGAGTCAGCTACTTTATGACTGTAACACAAACTGCGTGGCTTGTACAGGTGTTGGAGTGGATTTGGACAGAAATTTAATCCAACGGGCGCAGCGCAACGCCAAACGAGTCGAAGGCATTCGCGCCGAATTCATTGAAGGGAATTTTCTTGACCCCCAACTCGATATTTCGAAAGCCTCTGCGATGTACGTGCCCTTTAAATTTGAAGTTGAGATATACTACAATTTTATGCTGCATTCATTCTCTCGTCGGCATCGTTATAATCCTTCTTCGTTTCTTGTTTCACGGCGTATCTGTGTCGGAGCTTCACAGGTAACTGTCTGATGGGCGTGACACAATTTGTCTTTTCAATTCCATGTCTTTGAGATTCTTTTTTTGTGTTTAGCTTTATTTACCTTCTTCCGGAGGCGCTGCAACTTCTTTCTTCGCGACTTGCCGACCTCGTGAAGACTTCGTCAACCTTGAGATGCATCTTGTCTCTCTGTTGGGCTCTTCCAGGAGTGTCACCTTCAGTGCACAACTCTGAAATGAACTTTTTCGTGTACAAAATCGAAGAACTAAAGCAACAAATGACGGCAGATGCGTAGCGAAAGGCTAGAATGCGGACCTTTTCAGAAGCGACACTAGTTGCAGAAACAACCGCAAGACACAACGACTGCAGTGAAGAACACAGCAGTTGAAAAACAACTGAAAAGAGAGCTATAATGCGAACTGCAGTAGTCCTGATGCAGCTTCCGCTGCAGCAACTGATTGACGCACTGGAGCACCAACTGCAGTAACAGCTGCAAGCGCATCTGCAGTTCTCATTTTGTTTTGAGACTATTTGAAGTCAATGTAGTGAATAACTGATGCGTTTCGGGGCCAGCCAAGCTTGCTTCCTCTTTTACCTGACTCGATCGAACACCAGCAGCATCAGGCGTCGCTGAACTGCGCAGAGGAATTTCTATTTGGTTTACTTGCGCATTGACAGCCTCTTGAAGTTATTTCGGTGTAGGAAGAGGCCGTAGTCATTTTTTTCTTCCTGAGATCACACAAGCGTGCGTATGAGCGCGCCAATTAACCAAATTAAGCCTTCAATTTTGCTTGTGAAGTAGACAATCCCACCTCTTCAGAGGCATCTTCCTCGCCGTCTGCTTCTTGAGCAGAAGCTTCTTGCGGCGCTTCCTCTGGCTCCGCTTCTGTGGCTTTAAAAGGGCAGCAAATGAAGTTTATATTCGCATTTGTGCGAAGTTCTCAGGCTAACGCTCAGAAGTGAGAGCCGCGGCTTCGTTTGGCTCAGCGGTCTTCTCCTCAGCCATTTCTTCTGCCTCTTCGGCTTCGTTTGCCCCAGCGCTCTTTTCCTCAGCCTTTTCTTCTGTGGCTTCGGCTTTGTTTAGCTCAGCGCTCTTCTCCTCAGCCTTTTCTTCTGCGGCTTTTTCTGTTGGGGAAAAGAAATGGATTTATTCAGCCATATGCAGTTTTCTGGTGCGGAAGCTGCTGTGGTTTCCTGACCCTCAGCTGCGTGCTCTTCTGGGGGCTGCGCCTCTTGTTCAGCGAGTGCAACTTCTTGTGGAGTCTCCTCCTACAAGTTTTGCAACTTCAAATCTGCATTTAATACCATTTGTTCATGGGGAACACCTCAGGGGCTTCCCCTGTCAGTTTTTCTATCCCCGCTGCAACGCGCCGCTGAAAGGAAAGCAAGATGCAACTTCAAAAAAAATTGAGTTGGAGTTATGTGGAGCACCTCCTCTTCAATAAGACTCTTAAGGTTTTGTTTTTCGTGGTCGAGTTCTTTCTGCTTTTCCATTTCGTTCAGCTCAGCAACAACTGTTCTCAGTTTATTCTTTGCCAGTGCCATTTTGCCTATATGGAATGTTGCTTGCCCGTTGCCTCAGCTTCCTCGTGTTTCGCTTTCTCTTCCTGTGCCTAATGTGCATTTCGCAATATACTAAACAACATTAAGCAATGCACCTCCTCTCTGAGCCTGCGAGAGAGCGAATAACTACTTTTGTTTCAAGTTCGCCTTTAGTTGGCCTTACTCATGTGCTGCATCTGCTTCAGCTTCTTTGGCCTTCGTGATCCTCTGCATTTTCCATGGCTTTTGTCAGTAAACCCTAAAGAGGAAAAAACAGCTGTACCTTCTCTGCATCTAGCAGCTCGCTCACAGCTGCACAGGAAAGTGTAAAAAGGAAGTAAAAAGGAACAAAATAGGAACAAAAGCCTTCGAATGAATTTGAAGTACCTTCTTTGTGCTGCTTGGCCTCGGCGTCTTTGGCCTGAAAGGATTGAAGTTAAAATCGCGCGATAATTTTGTGTGTAGCGGCATGAGTACTTTGTGCAAATTTTTTAATTTCATGTTTGCACTTCTTGCACTTCTCGTACCAGTTTGCGAACGAGCGCGGATTCCTCATGCTCTAAGTGTGCATGATGATATATTTGCTCCCGAATCGCTGAAATTGTGATGAGAAAAAGTAGATCTTTGTTTCTGAGCCAAGTGCATCGATGAACTGCTTGTTTCACCTTTGGCCACTTCACGGTCGCCAGATGCTGGAATCCGGAAAGGGAACACGTTCGGGTGAGAATCTCACACACTTGAAGAATATAAAGTACCTTCAAGTGGAATGCAGCATTCTCCGGGCTCATCGCCACGACAAATGCTTAGAAAGAACGTTGCCTCCATGGCCAACCATGCAGGGAAAATCCTATAAAGCCGCATCTCTTGCCCTCCTGAGTGTCCGTTCCATTACTCCTATCTTGCGGATCTACATAAATATAGCTGCAGTGAAAGTATTTGCTCAGAGTGTCGAGGAGCAGGCCATCACACAGCCGGTAAAAGGCCCGTCGCCTCCAGCGCCTTCGGGCATTTTCACAGCTGCGCATACACCTGAACTATCTATGAGTAGGATGGAGGAATTAAGCTATAGTTCGCACCCTTAGAGTGATACAACGGCATTTTACTCCGGTGGAAGTAATTTGTGGCTTCAACAGCGGAGATTCTCCTACGGCTCGATATGTTTCAGTTTCATAGTACCATCTGAGTAACTCTCCCCCTCCAACTGCTCTGAAACCTTCCCCTCATTATTGAAGGCTTTGCCAGCTCTTCTGCAATTTTTTGGCTCGGGAAACAGGGGCTTATTCCGCGTAATTTCTTTAGCACGGGAAACCGAGGTTTGTTCCGCCACGCTAGGCGCTCGACCAGCAACGCAGAGCAGTGTACTGCTTCACGTGCCATTTACGCCAGCTCATTGTTCCTCATTAAATACCTGCTTTTTGTTTAAGTGTTAAGCGTGAATTAGGACGTGAGACCTCAGCTTCAGGTGTTAGAACACCAGCGATCACCTCCACAATGGAGGCTCTGCTGTTTGATGTGTGATCCAGCCAGATTTTATTTCACCCACAAAGTATTATCAGCTTTCTATCTATTATTCGAGTAAGTTTTTCTTTCCGCAACGCATTTCCGTGCCTTTGAACCTGCTACAACGCAGTTGCGGTAGTGGCCATGAGCACTGTAGGCGCCTTCACCTAGACGGCAGCAACACTTTGAACCACTATTATATTCAGTTCACTTCAGAATCACTCGAGGTTACATGCTCCGATTAATGAATCAGTGTTGCGATTATGCAGCGAAGCCTATGCTTGATGACAGGGGGCCTCCTTTGGCTCTCCCTCTTTTCGCGGTGCGGCAGCGCCCACTTTTGCCAACGCTGACGAACCCAGTTAGTAAACGTAGGTGAAGGGCTTCTTAAGAAATGTCTTCGATGATACAATTATAGGATAAACATAAAAGCTGCGTCTCGGTAGGCACACGAGTAGCCCTGTTGGGGATGCTTTTACGAAAGGTCACTTCCCAACTGGTTGCTTGGCACCGACTAAAAATAGCGAGTAAAACACAGGTTTCGCATAAACTGATGCTCCAAGAATCCACTCTTACACAAGCATATCAAAAGCAAGTGAAATTTTCGTTGCGAGCAACGGCCCTTGGCCTCTCGATGGTAGCTTCTTCCTAAGTTGCCCTTCCACTGGTTCTCAAGTAGCCCTGTACTGACAAATACAAACGCTCTAGAGATGTGTAACAAGAAATATAAGCTCATAGGAGGAAGACCAAAAGACAGGAGAGTACACTGGCACGTCGCGCGCTCCCCTTGAGCTAACTTTCTGCAATAGAAGTCCCCTTCAAATGAAATGGCAATTCCTTTACCCCAGGTGGTTAACAGGAACGGTGCTCAGCCAAGACAAAGCCAACCAGCTCACTTTGTGTGCCTCTCCCTGTCATCGTAGATCTGCTTGTGGGACCTTCCTTGACCCCTTGACCCCGTTTATTCAGCGGCAGAACAAAAACAGCACTTCCCCCGTTGACCCCTCAAGTAACAGTTGAGAAAGGGAAAGAAAACCCTCGGCCTCAGGCTCAAGAATTGTTGTTTACTTTGCCCAAGGCGAGGAGTGCCTTGCAAACTAGGCCTAGGAAACGCGGGGTTGCTTGCGCCAGAGGCAAAGCCCCTGGGCGAATAGCCGAGGCAAAAGGCCTGCACAAAGCAGCTTTAAAACCCTGGGGGAAGTCATCTTAGTTGCTGCTCCAGAAGCAGTGACGACATAAGTAAGAAGAGGGGACAAGAAAGATGGCACACCTTCCCCAACGGGTTGAAATGTTTTGGGACATCTCCTCAGACAGCCGCCGTCCCTCCCGCCGAATTCCACCGTCTTCCGGAGCCCCCCGGTTAAGTTTAGACAGAAGAATAGGAGAGAAGGAAGCAAGAGGCACTTCCATTCCAGGGAGTCCAGACTCTGCTTCTGTAAGTCCCAGTGGGTCACCATCAACAGGCCGTCTCCTGTCTTCTTCGACGTGTCGCAGCTTCTATACAGATAAGCAGAAAGACCTGCAAACTGCAGCGTGGGAAGAAGAGGAGCTACCTGACGTCCTTGGCGCTGAATTCCCAGGGGACTTGTGGTCTCAAGCGCTTCTTCAGCAGCACTACAAACCGTCGAGCAGCTACACAGAGGCCCTCAGCGCCACGCACGAGTCTCTACGCAGTAGCTTCAGCAAACGCAATTCACGAGAGTTTATGGACTACAGAGGACAAACCAAAGAGCCCAGCAAAGTGCCCCCTTGGCAGCGCCCTTTGAAGAGCTCAGCCAGGCCCCTGTCCTCCTATTCGGAGTTAGGAGGGCCCCAGCAAGTGCGCCCAGGGACTTCAAGGGCCCCAGCTGGCCCAGCAATTCCGGCTGAAGGGGCCTTCGAGTCAGAGCTGCTGGCAGCCCGTGGGACCGGCATACTGCACAGATCCAGCGCTGCAGATCTGCTGCAGCACAAAAAGAAATCCTTGCAGGGACCGAAAAGGGGGTCCTCGTGGTCGCACCCAGTTCAAGAATACACACTGCTGCAAATGGCCCAGGCCCAACAAAACCGATATGGGACCAAAGGACCTCCTGTATCAGTCTCAGGGGTTCCTGGTGCCTCAAGGCTTCCCGTCTCTTGCTGGAGCATGCTTACAAAGCAAAGGTTTTCTACATGCGCAGGTGAATTGGCACAAGCCGCAGCCTCTGCAGCAGCAGAGGCAGCGGCTGCAGCTGCAGCACGACGACCAGACCCCCCGCTGGCCTCCTCTGCAGCAGCACAGGCTGCAGCAGCTGCAGCAAATGCAGCCGCAGCAGTGGCGGCAGCTGCAGCTGCAAAAGCTGGTGTTTATAGCTCAGCTGGAGCAAGTTCCGTTACCGCTCCCCTGCCTGGGGGCACTCTTGATTCAAAGTCACTTCGCAACGAGTCTTCAAAGCTGGCGGAGCCAACAGAGGGTTCAGGCGAAAAGGACCTTGAGGACTCTCAAGAGAACGAAACCCCAATGACAGTTCAGGGGCATTCCGGCTTTTCTTTTGCTTCACTGGCAATAGCTGCTGCAAATGCTGACTCTCTAGCGATGTATGCTCCCCCTTCTGCAACTGCCAGCACTGCTGCTGCAACAGTTGCTGCTGCTGCTGTTGCCGCCATGTCGAGGGAACCCGGTGCTCCAGAATGCGAAGCGGAGGGTCGCGACGGCGCTTTTTGTGAAAAGAGAAAGAGCACTCCAATGGCAGAGGCAGTAACAATAGCAAGCGGACCAGCCGCATTAGGGATGGCAGCAGCAGCAGAAATGACAACCATAGCAGAATCAGGATCATCAGCAGTTGCTGCAATCTCATCGGAGAAAACAGCTTCAGCAGCGACCAGTCCGAATGACAGGCCCATATCTGAAGATATCGCAGCGAGAGGGGCAGTTGGAGCAGCAACAATAACCACGGCAGCCACAGCAGCAGCTGCAGTAGGACGGACTGAAGCAGGAGGCATCCAGAAAGCTGAATCTCCTTGCACCATGAATGATGAGCAGAAGCAAGACGCTCGCTCACGCGTCCCCCCACTCTTACTTGGAGCTATTGCACCAATTAATGCTGCCCGCGAATCTATTTGCCGCAGCGAGAACAGTACATTGGGCAGCAGCAGCAGGAGCAGCATCAGCAGCATCAGGCCACAGATCCCAGTCATTCCTGTGCCCCAGCGAAGGTGGAAGGTTCTGGACATGCCGATGCCTCTTAGACTGAAAGTGGTGACTGCGGGGCCCCCAGCAAGCGGCAAGAGCTGCTTGGTGCGGCGCTTTTGTGAGCGGCGATTCGCAGGGGTTTCCCTTCGGGAAAGGGGAGCGAGAGGGGGAGCTACGGGACCCCGCACAATCGCCTGTGACTTTGGCTTGAGAGACGTGGTGCTGCCTACCAAAGAAACGGTGCGGCTGCACTTCGTGGACTTGTCCGGGGAGCCAGTGTTTGCCGAGGCAACCGAAGGAGCCTTCGAAGGAGCTGATCTGCTGCTCATGGTCTTCGACTCAACGGACCCAGCTTCCCTTACTGCTGCGCTTGAGGCATTGCAGCAAGCCCAAGAAAAAACAGGTGACTGCACTTTTTAGAAATATGGCTGAGATCCTCATAGTACATCACTTGCTTCACAATATTCGTTAGTTCTCATTCACGGCTCTCTCTCCACTTGTTCAACCTGACGCAAACAAATTGAATACCACTAGCCCATCCCAGGGAGAGGCCAGCTTGTGTTGCTTGCTTAGTTGCGTCTCTAGACAGCATTCAAGAGCATCCGACCAAATGGACAGCCGCAGCAACAGTAGTGTTCGCTACAGCAGCAGAGGCAGTAGGAGCAACGGTGGCGCAATCTGTATTGCTGCTGACAACCACAGCCAATCAATACTTCCGCATGCAACTGGCTGTAAACTAAAAGACCTGTGTAACGTGCTTCTCTGCAACAGGTGATGCACTTCTTGTTCTAGTCGCCGCCAAGGCCGACGGCTCTGATGCAGCGAAAACCGGCGTTGCAGCAGGAAAGGGGGCAGCAGCAGCAGCAGGGACTCGCTTCTACGCAGCATGTGCTGAGACAGCTGACGGAGTTGATAAGCTCTTCCTTGAGACAGCTACCGAAGCAGCAGCAAGGGCTAGGGCTCGTTGCAACGTGCGGATCCCCAGAGTAAATAATAGAGGCGCTCCCAAGCAGTGATACGGACAGCCAAGCTTCCCTCCTCTGCTCATGCTGCCTCCACAGCAAAGCATTCGCCTGCCCGGAGATCCTTCCTCTCCTCTGCTGGACAAATTCTGTAAAAGTTGGGTCTTTTTGAGACCAACGAGCTACCACGATTCTAGGCCAAACTAAGCTGGGCAACCGCATTTTGTGGCCCTAGGCTGGCACTGGCATTTTGGAGTAGCTAAGTCTACTCAGCACAAAAGCCAGCAAACTCTAAACAAGAAAACAGTTTACCTTGAGCAGAACTGCAGCAACTGCAACGGCAGCTGTTGCAGATACCGCCGTGGCTACTCGTGCTTCTGCAGCTAGGAATGACGATACAAAGCTACAAACAGAATTATCACTGCAGCAGCACCAGCAGCAGCTGCGCGGCCACTGGCCTGAATGCGCTACTTAACCAGCCACCCTGTTGCTGGTGTTGTTATGGCTGCTGCAGCGGGCATGCTGCAGCTACTGCTGCAGCTCGCGCACACTGCAGCAGCAGCTGCCTTCGCTTTTAGCTGCAGCAGCAGCAGCGACGCACCAACTCAAAGTCAATTATTACTGCGCCCTCTTTCACAAGAAGCATGCCCAGCCCGAACGGGCCAGCGGCCTTGGCGCTGTGGAGAGACAAACCAATACAGCGCACCGCAAGTGCAACAATAACAGCAGCAACAACTGGTGATGCTGCTCCTGCTGCAACCCACTTAAACCCTATACCCTACGACTGGCAAAAGAACAACCCTCTGCCCCACCCCTTCCTTTGCATTGCCAATAAAACAAAATAATGCAGAGCTCAGATGAGCAGGCTTCAGCAGCTTGTAGCTGCTGGCGTAGTTGCTGCTACTGCTGCCGCTGCACGCGTTGGATCCTATCTAATGCGACGGCAAAGAGTGCGGCTGCTTTCGTCAGGTGTTGTTTTCCCCAGCGTCCTGCTGTGGCTTGGGGCGCTGTTGCTGCTGCTGCTGCGGCTGCTGCGGCTGCTGCGGCTGGGGGGGTTGCTGCGGATGGAGGTGCAGCTGCTGCTGCTGGCAGTGGAAGCGAGCTGCATGAGAACAAAACGCCTCCCATAAAGCCTCACTTCTCCTCTCTAGAGAATGCCTTGCTGTTAAGAATGCGTACACTGAAGCTCCAAGTGCCTCAGATCGCATGGCTGCCCACGCAGGGGCCTCTACGTAGACAAGGACTTGCTGCGCCAGCGCAACCTGCTGCTGCAGCGGCTGCAATAGCATCTTCTGCTGCTGCAGACGCTGCTGCTGCTCACCGACCTGGGCCGCTTTGTCTTTCCACCGCAAGTGAGTCTGCAGCCAGCAGCCCCGAGGGGATCTCCGCAATGCGGCCAGCTCTACCTGCAGCTTCGCTGTTGCCGCTGCTAGCTGCTGCTGCTGCTGCTGCAGCTGCTCCACATAGTTGAAAGCACTAATCATGGCATCACTATCTTCTATCCCGCGATTAACAGCAGCAAGCAGCAAATCCAGGTGCTGCTGCCGAGACTGACGCTGACACAACAGGCCACAGAAAAACAACGCAGATGACAAATCCTGCAGAGCATCGCTACCAGATATTGTAAAGCCTTGCTGCCGTAGCTGCTGCTGCTGCTGAAACTGCTGTTGCTGCTGCTGATGCCGATAAGAATTAGCTGGTGCTGTCGCTGTAGGGCCAGTGCTGCTTTCCCCGGAGAACTGAACTTCTTGCTGCAGCTGCGGCGAGCTCCTCAAGTTGGGGAGAACGTCGTTCTCCCGGGAATCAATTTGCAGCTGATGCATCGACTGCTGAAGCCCCGTAATGCCCCGCAACGCAGCGATAGGCCCATTTCCCGGGGTACCGCGGAGAGGCCGCTGCTGCTGAAACGCCACGACACCCCGCGATGTAGGCACGGGACCATTACTGGCGCTTGGACGAATCAGTGGCTGCTGCAGCTGCTGCTGCTGCTGCTGTTGCTGCTGCAGCAACAAAGGCTGGTGCAGCTGCTGCAGCGGGTCCTCTAGCCTGTGGTCTAGCAACACGGCTTGCAGAGCTTCAATGCTCCCTTGCTGTTCTTGTTGCAGCTTACAGATGCGCCGCAAATGCCCGCGCAACATCGTCAGGAACTGATGGTGGTGTGTCACTAGGGCTTTACTCGCAGCCATGCGGGGACCTGCATCTGCACCAGCAGCAGCTGCTGCAGCTGCTGCTGGTGCACTTGGTGATGCAGAATCTGAGCCCCATGATGCAGGCGAAGAGGACGCTGAAGACGGTTGTGATGCTGCAGCTGCCGCAGCTGCACTAGGTGCAGAAGCAGCAGCAGCTGCTGCTGCAGCTGCCAGCTCATCGACAAACATGCGCTTGTACTCAGCTAGCTCTTCCTCTATTCGCTGAAGCTCCGTCATGTGCTGCTTGCGTTGCTTCAAAGCTTCAACAGAGAATGATGCATCGCTGCTGTTGCTGCCGTTGCTGCTGCTGTTGCTGCTGCCGTAGGGTGCCACCTCGAGCCACGCTCTTACAACAGAAGTATTCGCGAGGTGTGGCCTGTTCAGGACTCTCGTGAGAAACATGCAGAGACCTTGCCTTCTGTCTGCTGCTGTCTCTGCGTCGTCGCGACAGGTAAGCCCCTGCTTCTTAGGCAGGGGCGGGATGAACACTCCTGGCAGCAGCTGCTGCAGCTGCTGCTGTAGCCACTGGAAGTCAGCGTGTCGCCGTCGCACAGCAAAGGGCCCCACGCCCTCGGCAGTTCCGGTGACGGCATACAGAGGCCCTCGAGACCACAACGATGACCCAACAACCACAAAGCTGTTGGTACTACTGCTGCTGCTGCTGCTGCTGCTCACAGCCTCCGTCACCCGCAGCTCTATGCGACGACGCATCCGCTCTGCTGCGCAGCTGCCGCCCCAGAAGGAGCCCTGCAGCAACTGTTTCAGAAAGTCGCCGCAGCAGCAGCAGCAACAGTCCTCACACAGCATCTGCTGTGCGCCCTGCGCAGTGGCACTGAAGCTGCTGCTGCTGCTAGTGCTCGTACTGCTGCTGCTGGTGGTGCTGGTGCCGATGCTGCAACAGCAGCAAACGGCACGACCTCGATGCCGAGGGACACCTCCTGATGCCTCCTCTGGCAGCAGGACTGCATCTGTCTGGTCTCCAAATGGGTCAGCAGCAGATGCACTACGAGGAGCTACGCAGGCCAGCCCTTCTGCCGCAGCAGAAGCACCAGCAGCAGAGCCGTGCGCTACATGCGGGCAGTCCTGGCGGCCACAGCTGCGCGGCTTCAAAGGATGGCAAGCACCTACCACTGCTGCTGTTGCTGCTGCTGCTGCACAATGTGACAGCGTATGACTGGAATCTGTGTGCAGCAGCGTAAAAGAGTCAATAACGTCCCCATCACTGCTAAGGGACGGCTCTCGAGAGTTTGACAGCGGCTTTTGCTCTTGCTCCTGCTCCACCTGCTCCAGCTCCAGCTCCTGCTGCTGCAGCTGCAGCAGCTGCTGGTCCTGCTGCTGCTGTTGCAACAGCTGTTGCTCTTGCTGTTGCTGCAGCGGCCTGCCGCTGCATAGCGATGAAAATCCCAGGCCACTCCGCGCCCCGGAAACTGCGCTGCTGAAGCGCTCCCGGAAGCCAAACCTGACGGGTTCCTCCACAGCAGCAGCTGCCTGAGATGACTCCGTGGTCGCCGCTGCTGCTGCTGCTGATGCTGCGATCTCAGCCCCATTTGTCGCGTTCGCAGATGGCGCCAATGGGGCCACATTGTGGGTCAGGAGGGTCTCAGTCCTAAGACTGTCCGGTGGCTTCTGCTGCTGTTGCTGCTGCTGCTGCTGCTGCTGCTGCTGCGCACTCGCCGACTCATCAGCTGGCGAAGCACTCACTGTCTGTTCCGCTGTGGCAGTTTCCCCGTCGCTGCTGCCCACTGCCGCCCCTGAGCTCCCGCATGTTGCTGCTGGCTGCTGCTGCAGCTGCTGCTGCTGTTGCGAAGGCGACTGTGGGGTGTTCACGCTAGCTGCAGCCGCAGCAGCCTGCGCCGAGGCAGCTGCCAGAGCGGCGGCCGCAGCAGCAGCATTTGCACGTTGCTTGTTGTTGCTGCTCCGAGAACCTGCTGCCTGCCTACCCATATTGCGACGAACAGTTGCTGCAGCAGCAGCAACAGCTGCTTCAGCCGTTACTGCTGCTGCAGCAGGTGGAGCTGTCTTGCGGTCGCGAGAAAAAGTCCTTCTTGGCCCTGAGAGCCTGAGGGGCAGCGCTAAAAATGCCAAGCAAATGCTGGTTGTGCCTCGGCTGCTGCTTCTCCTGCTGCGGCAGCTGCTGCTGCAGTCGCTCCTTAAGGATAAATTAATGTGCTGTCCGTGCTATATAGCCCGGGCACAGGCAGGGCCGCAGCTGCTTCCGCCAAGAGAGCGGAGGGCCCTTGACCAACTCTGCAGCAGCAAGTGCTATAGCCGTGTGCTGTTTGCAGCAGGTTCACTAGGCAAGAGTCGGTCGCTGCCACTGCAGATATGCGCTGTCTGCAGCAGCTATGCAAAAGCTGCGCTGCAGCAGCTAGTTTTGCTGCTCTAAACGCAGCGGAAGCTGTAGGGCAGAGCCCCTACTACTGTTTTTGAGGCTTGTGGGGCCATCAGAATGACAGCAAATGCGCAAGTGCGAGATAATCGACAGCTGTGGCCCTGCTTTCGGTGATGCCTCCCCTGCTGCTTCCGCTGCTGCTGCTTTGGCCTGCTGCTGCCACTGCAGTTGCTACTGCCGCGCTCACACCAGCAAATGTGCGTTGACCACAAAGGGACAATTACTAAGTGAGACGAAAAATCAGATTCCTGCTGTTGGTGTTTGGCTCGCTGTTGCTGCTTCCGCTCAGCCGCCGGTGCTGCCGCTGCTGGTGGTCTGAACCAGCAGGAGGCGCGGCTTGGGCCGCGCTGAGGCCGGAGGACAGTGCGGTCCGTTCACCGAGAGATAAATAAACAAAAATAGGCAAGATAATGTGAAAATGAAAACAACGCTTATTAAAGAAAGCCTGCGCTGCTGCTGGCTTCTATAGCAGCACCTGCTGCAGCAGCAGCAGCAGCGCAAGCACCGTACGATGGAAGCAGCTGCCCACCGCTCGCAGTGTGTTGCACGAATACGCGGACAAAGTAGTATAATAAATTAGGGAAAACAGTCACAAGTATACATCAAAAGGGCCTCTGGAAATAGGGGTGAGTTGCTTCAAGCAGACTAGCAACACCGCAGTGGTCGGCGCAGCGGCTGCAGCAGCGGCTACTGCTACTGCTGCTGCTGCTTTCGGCACAACAAAATTGAATACAACTGGAACCCCGAGATACAATACAAGTAGGAGAAAGGAATACGATTGATTCCACTAGAAACAACTAGAGTATCAACTTCAAGTATACTACGAAACTGCATCAGCGCTCATCGCCGCTTCGCAGGTGGTGCGTGCATTGTCTCGACGCCACTGCTTTTGCCAAGCTCAATACGGTAGCGAAGACAATCCTTTATATCTAAAATTATTGCTAAATGTGTAATAACGGATTCATTTGCCTGTTTAGACTCCGTTTGCCGGCGATCAACCTAGAAGCGCTACCCCCCACATGACCACTGGGTTTGGGGGCCCCCCAGCGGATTAGGGCCCCACGCCCTCTGGTTGTCCGTTTCTGCCCGGCTACCCAGTATTAGTTGGTTTGATTCTTTTTCGTGTTTTTTGAACTATGTTGCAGTATTAACTTGTGGTAGCGTCTTTATCTGCGGATTGAGCAGTTGAGGGAACGGGCTCTGTAGGGGCCCCCAGTGAGTACAGTAAACTCGACGGCGAAGCCCGCGCGGGCAGCAGCGCATAAGTTTCTGTGAAACGATATGTGTCTTTACTGCTTATGACTCTAATGGTGTTGCTGGTGCGCTTACTGTGCCTCCATTGGCACGCAGGCTTGAAGGGACATGGTGGCATACCCCCAGGTACACAGCCGGCGACAAGCTGCTGAGGCCGCCCTTGCAGCAGCTGCAGAACTAAACGAGCCGCCCAAAGCAACAATAACAGCTCCCGCTACAGCGCCAAGCTGCCGTACCAAACTGGGAGAAACAGGAGCGGCGCATTCCAATGCAGCAGGAGTCGCAGGAGCCAGTGCTGCAGCGCCTGCAGAAGCAGCTGCAGCTGCAGCAGCAGCCGCAGCTCCGAAGCCGCCCCTCTCTACATTCACTCTATTAATCAGTCGGCGCTACATACTCGCTGTAGGGAGCACAGATCAGCTGTGGAACTCATGCGAGGGGCCTCAGCAGCAGCAGCAAGCAGCGCAGCAGCGGGATGAGCAGCAGTCGCGGCAGCAGCAGGTTTTGGAGCATATTTTGGGGCGCGATGGGGCGACATGGAGGCGGCTCCACTCTATTCTCCTGCTACACAAGCAGCCAGTGTTGCAGCAGCGGCAGCAGATGGAGCAGCACCTTCGGCAGCAGATGCAGTCAGAGCAGCAGCAGAGGCAACAGCAGCAACACCAGCAGCAACCTCAACAGCACGAGCTGCTTCACTTCAGCCGTACCCCAACATGGGAAAGGATCGGCTCTAAGTTCATGACTACGGAGGTTGCGAAGTACTGCCTACGGCAAAGTCAGCTGCCGCTGCCTCTTCTTGAGCGCCAAGACCTTGCACGAAATTTGCTTTTCTTTTCTTTGTTGCTTCGGTTGCTGCTGCAGTTGCAAACTTTGGAGTTGGTTTGTGGTGTCGCTCAAGTTGCATGCAATGTGCTTCTGCTGCTCATGGGCGTGCAGCGCTGCAGCTGCTGGGGGAGGCCCCGGAGCAGCAGCTTTCCGTGTCGGGCCTTGTTGGCTTCCTGCCTCTTCTCTGCGGCTTTCACCTCGTTGCTGCTGTTGGCGCGCGACCGGTAAGACAGCAGCAGCAGCAGCAGCAGCAGCAACGGGTGCACAAGCAGGGGCAGCGACGGAGCGTGCTGGCAGCACGCAGCAGCAGCAGCTATTTCTACTGAGACAGCAGCAATAGAGGCATACGCAACGCAGCAGCGAGGGCTGCTGCAGCGGGAACAGCTGGGGCCTTGAGTGCGCAGCTGTAGGTGCTGCAGTGGTAGAAAGCAGCAAAAGGGGCTCTGCTGCTCTGTCTGTGCAGGCTGCGCGTTTGCTGGTGCACCACACAGTAAACAGTATCGACGATTTGGTTCTTCTGCCCCTTTTTTTCACGGCTGATACGCCGCAGGAGGCTGCTGCCTTCTGCTGCAGCAGTCCTCCCACGCTGCACTTGCTGCACTCGCTGCAGCAGCAGCAGCAGCAGGCTAAACGAGGACAGCAAAAGCAGCAACAACAGCAACCGCCAGAGGATCAGCCGCTCAGTCAGCAGCAGCTTGAGCTTCTGCAGGAGGTGCAGCAACTGTGCAAAAGACTCTCGGGACTATCCTTTAGCGCAAGCACAGCAGCAGCGGCAGCAGAAGATGCGAAATACAGAACTTCAGTTTTGGCTTACCGCGCCGATCGCGGATTTTACTTCTGCCGGACTCTCTGCATCAATCTCTCCCTGCAGCAGTTGGCTGCCAGGAGGCGTGCTGCATGTGCAGCAGCAGCTGCTGCTGCTGCTGAGCGAACTGCGGCAACAACTGCTCAAAAAGGGGGAGAAGCAGCAAGAGTTGCAGCGGCTGCTGCTGCTGTTGCTGCCAGCGGAGCCGAGTTCCACGGACAGTATCTGAGCTGCGAACTGAATCCTGAATGCTGCCAATGCAAGCGGCAGAAGCAGCCTCCCCAGCAGCAAGAAATGCAGTGGCAGCAGCGAGAAGCCACCAGTCGCTGGCATTGGTCGCCTCTACACCGGGAGGAATGCCGTTTTCTGTGGAACCGCGAATTGTTGTCCTTACTGCTGCAACAGCAGCAGCAGGACTTAATATCAGAGGGGTTCTTTTTGCTGTTGTTGCATGGGTCGGTGCAGCAGCAAGTGTTGCAAACCCAAGGGGTCCACCTGCAGCTGTTAACAATCTCAAGACGTTCTGCTGCTTTTGCGGGACCCCGGTAGGGAGGCACTGCGACTCCTTGCTGCTGCCAGTGGTGTTGCCCTTCAGTGCTGTTTGTGCTGGTGCATCTATTGCTGCTTGTGTTTCCACAGGTGCTGCTACTTCTAGGGTTTTCTGAGCATTCTTTTGCTGAGTGGTCTCGCTCCTGCATCTCGTGTTGTTGTTGCGGCTGCTGGTGTTGCTGCGGCGTCTCAACAGATACCGTAAGAGGGGGCTCAACGACGCCGGTGATGCGGCAAACGAAATCGAAGTTGAATTTATTTGTCAGGCGACGATTCCCTCCCGAACAGCCACAGCAGCAGCAGCCCGGCAAGCAGCAGCTTCAACAGCAGCAGCGGCAGGAACTCCTGCTGCGCTGTGGAGGCAAGTGCTGCTGCGAGGGGGTGGGGGATTCGAGTTTGCTGTTGCTTCTCACGTCTTGTCGCGAGGCAGCGCTCCGCTGCTTTGGTTCCAAGACACTGCAGTCATTCCTTCACGGCCCAGAATCCGCCGCAGAATGGTGCGTCTCGCTGCAGCATTAGCAGCTGCAGCGCCTTCAGCTCACTTTGCAGTGGCCCATGGTCCCGCCAGAAGCTTCTGATAAGATTGACCCTTCTGATAAGATTGGTCTCCTTGGCGCTGCTTTTGTTAGTTATTTAAACATTTATTTAGTTATTTAGACAAAGGTGCTGCCGGTGCACTGGTAAGGTGCTTCTCATTGTTGCTTTCCTCGCGGCTGCCACAGGAATTGTTGCTGCTGCTTTTGCTGCGCCCTCAGACGGACGTCAACTGCAGCGCTATTAGAAGGCATATGGCGAGTTTGCTGCAGCGGTATGGAGCTCCGCTGCTGCTGCTGAACCTACTGCGCAGCAGCCCCCGCGCAGCGCATTCTGCGGAAAAGCAGCAGATAGCCCCACTTGGTTTTTCTGCAGCAACTTCTAGGCTAAGTCGACAGAAGCATTCGCAGCAAGGCCTGGGATGCGCAGCAGAGGCGACTGTAGCAGTAGCTATAGAGGCAGCAAACGCTGCTGCGCGGAAAACAGAGGATAGTCCCAGCGAAGAAACAGCAACGGCCACAGTAGCCGAACAGGAATCTTGCCTTGGAAATGAATATCGCAGGGCTGTAGCAGCCCTAAATTCGGTGAGTTATGCAGTTGTAACCGTGGCAGCGGTAACTTTTCTGCTTCTGTTACCACTGATGATGCATTACTTCCTAGTAATGAGGAATATGCTGTTATTATAATTTTTCAGCGAGGTGGTGCAGCAGCAGCTGCTGCCACCATCAAGCTCTAAGCGTTCAGTGATTTGAATAGCACCTGCCGAACTATTTTTTGATTCTGCCAAGACACACCGTGGCAAACATTAGGCGTTGCGCTGTTGGCTCATTGCTGGACTTGGTGCAGTGCCATGTTGTGCTTTTTGCAAGACGTTCTGGGCACTGCAATGCCGCAGGCTTGATGGAGTGTTGCTGCTGCTGTGCTGTTTGCTGTGGTTGCCGCAGGAGCTTCCTGCGGCAGTGCAACTCCGATTTGCTGCGGTGGATATCGAGGCAGCAAGGAGAGGGGACCCGGCAGAGGCGTCGTCACGAGTGGGCGGCCTGGCGGCGAAGACTTTGGAGGAGCTGCAATTCTTTGCCTCTCAAGAGTCAGTGCTTAAGACCGCGGGCTCAGACTTTGGAGCAGCAGAGCAGCATGCGAACCAGTGCACCACCAGAAACCTTGGCTCAGCAGCAATAGCAGCAAACGGACTTCCAGCTGAAGCAGATTGAGCAGCAGTGGCGACAGCGAAGTTGTTATGCTGTGGCTATTCTGCGCATTCGAAGAATTGATGTTCTAGCAGTAACACATATTTTCAGTTCTGGTGACTGCTGCACTTGTTTTTTCTGTTGTTTTTACGTTTTGCTGCTATTCGAACTGCACATGCTTGTGTGGTTCAGCCTCTGGGGCCTGTCGCCTTGTCAGCTGCAGCGCGGGGTGTGTCGCCTGAACTGTTTGGACTCTTTGGACCGGACCAACGAAGTGCAGCTGCACATGCACAGGGCTTTTGCGCTGCGCTTTCTCCGGAGCCTTCCAGCGGCGGTGACGATAGACAGCGCCCTAGACGAGCAGGCAGGGCTCGCCATAATTGCAGATTGCAAAAGAGCTCAGCTCCACTTTCCCCTAGTCACGAAGGCATACTCATGGGCGCTAGCGCAGAACAGGGTAGCTCTTAAAACGCAATTGTGGTGATACGAAGAAACAGACGAATGCAGAGGCAGGGGTGCAGCGACACAAGCAGAAATGCAGGAGGTCTGTGGCAGTGAGATAGTAAAGAATGCTACGGCGAGGAGGGCAGACGGACACTTTTCGTTATACAGCCAGAGACAGGTACAAGGACTGCGAATACGCATAATGGCCATGGGGTTACATTTTCGTTCTTTGCTGCAGGTTCTGAATGCAATCGCTGTTCTAACAGATGCCAGTGGGGACGACGTGGCCCTGCAATATGGAGGTCAGAAAATTTGGATCCTTACCGGTGCTCCTATTCTTTTGCTTTCGAATCTACTGTTCATAGTTAAGGGCTCAGGGCTTAGCGCTGCTGTACCTGCGTCGCGGTGTTTCCACACAGGTTCAGTAGCCCACAGGAAAAGACTGGAGCCGCTGGCCTGGGCCGCACAGTTGCCGGTGGAGTCGTGTAGTGCAGACGATCCCAGAGACAACCTCTGGGGCCTTTCTTTTGAGGCTTCAACAGGCAGCAGATGTAGCAGCAACAATGGAAGCAACGGGGATGGCCCTCAGCTGCGGTCTCAGCCCTCAACAAGCTCTCTTACCGCGGATGATGCCGCTGCACCAGAGGGGCCACGAAGTAATGACAGCACCAGCACTACTGGCAGCAGCAGCAGCAAACCCGGAGGCCTTTTCAGCGGCGCCTTAGTTGCTCTTAAGGGGGTCTCATCGGCCCTTGCTGTCCAGTGGGTAGGAAGGAAGGGCACCACAGCAGCCTTTGTGCCGCTTCTGCCTGGCCTGTCCACATCTCTCCAGCGCAGGTAAAAGCCTCAACACTTGGGAATATCAGCAGCCAGAGACCGGCTAAGACCGGAATCTTTTGAATTTTCTGAGGGAAGAGCACCAGATTGAGCACCAGCGGCCACAGTACAGAGAGAGCTGGAGAGTTTTTCCCCTATGGACAGGCGGAATTGCACTTAGCTTGAAACTATGGCGTTGAAACACCAGAGAATTGGAAGAAGGTGGATAGGGTGGTTGTATAGAATCCACAGACAAAGCAGTGCTGGCCAGGACGACTAGCGGCGCTGTCGAAAAACAGGTGCCACCCAGCAGCAGCGATGAACTGGCGCTTTGGAATCGCTCTAAGACTCAGAGTTTGTTGTGTAGGGTGTTTGGGCCTGCGCACTTGCTGCAGGTACAGCAACATACTTGAGGACGGCAGGAAGCAACAAGCTCTCAACATTTGGTTCTCCTTGTACCCTCCCATCAAAGAAGGTCAGCAGCAGCCGCCTATTTGGAGGCTCGAAGACGGATACGATGTTTACATACATCACAAGTGAGGAGCAACACGGAGATGAGTTTTCGCGCATTCAACAGTGTGCTGCTGACAATGAGAAGTAGCAGCATCAGCAGTTGCTGCTGTTACTTCTTTTGTCCTCCAACGATGTGTGTGCTCTTCTCTGCGCTTGAACACACACTGACAAGTGCCGCTACTTCATTGCTGCATCTGCATCTACACTGTTGACCCCCCATGCCCTTCCATGCATCTTTTTACTTGCTGTTGCAGCTGCCGTTGCTGTTGCGGCTGCTGCTACTGTGATTGTTGCTTCAGCTTTCTGGAGCCATCTTTCTCACCGAAGGATTGGTGGGTGCTGCCCTTGCAACGCTTTTTCAACGGCATGAGATCAGCTGTCAGCATCTCCCACTGCTGCTTCTGTTGCTGCTGTAAGCTGGAAGGTTCTGGGTCGGACGCAGCAGCAGCACGGGGAGCAGCTGGAACTTACAGTGATGAAGACTTACAGGCACCAGCAGCAAAGCAGCCAGCGGCAGCAGCGGCACCAGCAGCAAACCAAACAGCCACCAAGTGGCTTGGCTGCTGCCGTTGCCGATCCGGGGATATTATTGCAGCGCAAACGGCGGATGCATCAACTGGCTTTTTGCTTTCTTCTGGACCGTCTTGGGTGCTGGACTTCTTGTCCCCCGAATGTACAGGAATTCTTTTGGGCTGCAGCTGCGGCAAACACATTGAGTGCAGCAACAGCAGCAGCGTCAGTATCAGCCACAACGATTCATGTGACAATGGCGCATGTTTTGGAGCTGGAGACGACATAGCCCACCTCTTAGATGTGTTCACGTACGGCCCCTGGCGTAGGAAAGCAGCAAATGCTGCTGCTTCATCTGCTGCGTCTGTTTTGAGGGCAGCCCCTAAGATTGATTCTGCTGCTGGTTGCCTGCAACTCAGCAAGCGTGGGCTAGCCGCACCGCCAGTAGCAGTTACTGCGGCGGGGTCAAAACATGCCTACAGCAGCCAAGTGGATGCTTCTGAAGCATCACTTCGTGCTGCGTTGGAGGATCACAAAAAGGCTGAGCCAGATGAATCTCAGAAGACTAGCAGCAACTGCAGCAAGGTGTCCACAGCTTGTGGGGAACAACGGAAGAATCTTCAAGCCTGCACGCATTCCAGGGGCCGTTCTCTAGCATTGCTGTTACCAACGCTTATAGACACTGCGACAGCTGCAGCACGGGCGCTGCAGTGCTCTTACGCACTGCAGCTGCGGGAGAGCGAACAGCTATGGTCGTACACTGCACTGCAGCAAATGCAAGAGCAACAAGAGAAGGAGGAGCGAATGGGCAGTAGCTTCATCTCAAAATGGACCGCAGCTCATCTAGTCCTGCAACAACGCAGCTGCAACAGCGCGCTGCAGCAAAGACTTTTGCAGGCGCACATAGCGAGACGGCTGACAAAATACCCACGCGATGTGGTGGCTTCTTTCGAATTACAGCGAGCAGCAGCAGCCGCAGCGGCAGCGGCCTGCTGCTGCCATCCTCCTTGTAAAGTACCTGGAGTAAATCGGGACTCCAATGCGTTACTTTTCCTGCTACCGCCACGTGCTGGGGAGACTCCAAATGCTGATGAGCAGAAGACGGACACAACCCAGCAGCAGCAGCAGGTCCGGCAGCATCAGACCGTAATAACATTCAAAGGCATCCTAAAAGAGCAGCTGCGGAGAACCCTGCAAGCGTATTCGCAGCAGCGGCGACAGCAGCATGATAAAGCTCTGAAGGGCCTTCCATACGAGCTGCAGCAGCAGCTGCAGCTCTGCAGCGATGGAGAAATGGACACTCTTATGGACACTCTTAACTGCGACTTTGGTGCAGCCAGTAGTAGTAGTGTCACTAGCTGCTGGCATCGAGCAAGTGCTGCTGTTTCCGAAACGATGCTGCAGCCTATCGAGCTGCATGCATTGCAGCAAGAAGCTCATCTCTTGCGGCTACAGAGGCAGCAGAAACAGCTGGAGGTAGCAATGCTGCTCCCGGCCATGTACGCGTTTGCTGCTGTGGCTGCGCAGGGCCCAGTGGACAAACAGCTGCTTCACCGTGTCCAGCAGCCTATGTGAGGGGCCACGGTGCTAGCAGCGGCTGCGTCGACCCGAAGCTGGCGCTAGGTGCACTTTTAATGCCTCGCATTCGCTTTTGTCCTCGCCTTCAAATTGTTTTGAGCTCTCAAAACTGCAGTAGTCACAGGAGTGACTGCTGCAGTCAACGGCTGCTGCAATTGCAGAGTGCAGGGGGTACTCTGCAGTTGCAGCAGCCAGCGCAGTGCTGGCGGCAGAATTTGCCTCGAGTCTGTAGCCGGACACGAGTAACGGACTTCAGTCGCGATTTAAACGTTAAGGGAACTCTAAAGGCAACCCGTAGTCTAAATCCCAAAAGATCTGCCACTGATTAGAGCGACACAAATGATGGGTTCTACACTTTATGAGGCCCGCTCAGAGTGGAGCTGGTTGCCCCTTTTTAATCAAGAACAATGACGTAGAAGCCGCATTTGGTGGGGTCAGTCACGAGAAGGGGATGCGTCTTTGCTCCCCAATACTTGTAATGAGTGGGGAGGCACACATGAGTGAGCTAGGCATGCGGCCTGGAGGAATACTAAAGGCTCTCTGCTGACGAAAACGGATTTCTTGCTGCCCACATGTTGTAATGTGAGTTATAACAATGCCAAGAACAGGTGGACAGCATAGATGAGTGGCTAAGACCCGAATTACAACACTGATGCACCAGGCGCTGCAGCGGAGCCAAGAGCGCAAGCAGCACCGCGCTCAGCAGTACCCATTTACTTATTTGGCTGGCTTTGCGAGCTCTGTAGCCGCAGCCGCTCTAGCAATGGAGGAATGAAAAGCAAGCTGCTGCGTTCGCCGTTGCTGTTGCTGGTGCATATGGAGGCGCCAGCAGAAAGGGAAGCCGGCGGCGGTACTCCCTCTTTCTGCGAGAAGGAAGCGTTTTCTTCCCTGCATCGCTTGAAGTGTGCGCCTTCAACAACAGCAGCTGCAGCAGCTGCACCAGCACCGGCACATCCCGCCATAGCCTGTGATGCCTTTCGCTTTGCTGGGGGATCACCAGCACTTTGACAAGTAGCGGCTGCTGCCGCATTGCTCGGAGTGCTCTCTGCTGCCTCTGCTGCACCAGCAGCAACAGCGGCACGAGATGGCTCTGTCACTGAGCCGTCGTACGGAATCTGCCCTACGCAGGCCGCAGTTTCATTGTCAACAGTACTGGTAGCTTGTGCTGCCGCTACTGCCGCCGCTGCTTCTGTCTGTGAAGGGCTCCTGCTGCGTCTTTCAAATAGGTGGTTTAAAATGAAGCCCCAAAACACTCTGCGACTGCAGGAACAGCACCACCAGTAGGCGGGGACCAGCCGATAATGCTCATCGTCATCATCATCAGTTGCTGCTGCTTGAGTAGCTCCATCAGGTGCTTTCGACGCTGTTTCTGCAAGCTGCTGCTGCTTTCTTGCTTCAGATTCCTGCTGCAGCGCAAAACGGCCTGCGCAGGTGAGGTGTACGTACACTCCGCACTGCGGGCAGGACAAAGCCCTATCTTTATCTTGAAATGACGATAAGCACAACGCGCAAGTATCACCAGCAGCAGCACACGTTGCTGCAGCAGGTGTTTTAGCACCGCCTGTCGCAGCACAGCCCGCTATAGCAGCACCTGCTGCTGCTGAAACCGCTGGACAAAGTGCTCCAGCAGCTCGGATACTGCTGTTGCCGCTGGTGAGGGCTCTGAGATCAGGCACCGCAGCATCGCCAAAGCAACAGTTGCAGCCACTGCTGCTTTTGCTGCTGCTGCTGTCCCTGCTGCTGCTGGATTTCGTGAAGGACCCAACCCGTAGTCCTGGACACCGAAGGCTCAGAGAGATTGCGGGGCCGCTGCTGACAGTCACCTGCGGCGGCACTCTTGTCAGCGCGCGGCCGCTGCTGCTGCTTCTTCCTTGCTTCCTTGTGCCTCCGCCGCAGCAGGGATAGACCAGCAGGTCTTGAAGAGTATCTGTCACATCTGGGCAGCAAGCATGCAGCTGCAACGGGAGGTTACAAAAAGGAATCCCGTGCAGCAGCAGCAGCGCTTGCTGCAGCTCAGCCTCTAGCCGCTCCTGCGGAAGCTTACTGCGCCGCCGCCTGAGGACGAACGGGACGCGGCAGCAGCGAGAATCGTCTGCTGCTGCTGCCTGCTCATTGAGCAGCTCCCAATCAGCTGCTGCAGCGGCTGCTGCTGCAGCAACCGTCTTCGGCGCTGCGGCTGCAGTGGATTGGCTCCCCCGAACACGCGACTGCCCTCGGCCACGGCGTTGCTTGGCTATCTGTCTGCGTCTTGCTGCGCAGCTGCTGCAGTTGCTGCAGCTGCACACAGCCCCAGTGTCCCCGCTGCAGCAGAGAGAGCGAAGGGCAGCAGCGGGGACCAGCGTTTGCTGCCACCTGAATTCAAACTGCAGAGCGCCAACTAAGGAAGGAAAACCGGAGATAAACAAACAGAGACGCCAAGGCCTATGCCTGCAAGGGCAGCAACAACCGTAGCAGCAGCAGCAGCAGCAGCGGATACTTTGGATACTTGGGTTAACACACTCATTGTGGCTACGGCAGCTACTCCTGCTGCAGCTCCTCAACACTCAATGCACTGCGATGCTTATGGGCAGCGGAAACAGCATTATAATCGACAGAAGAAACACGAGGGTCAGCTGCAGCAACAAGAGCACTAGGAGCCGCAGCAGCCTCAGCAGCAGCAGCAGCACGGGGCTGCTGACAATGAGGTTCTTCTCGCTCCTTGCTGCAGCTCTCCATTGTGCTGCCGCAGCCTCCGAAGAGGATTTGTGGTGCAGCCGACGTAGAAGTGATGGGGAGAGGAGACAGACTGCAGTAAATAGACGCAAAAAAAGCCACGAGGTAAAGAGCGCCAGTCTGACGAGTAGCTGCTGCTGTCTTCCCTTCCTTCGGCTTGATGATCTTCCGCTTCGTCTGCGCTGCTAGGGTCTGAAATCGAGGGGCAGCTGCTGCCTACAGAACTACAGCTGCTGCTTCTACTGCGGTTCCCGCTGCAGCTCCTGCTGCGGCTCCTGCTGTGGCTCCTGCTGCGGCTCCTGCTGCGGCTCCGGGTGTGGCTTCGGCTACGGCTTCTGCTGAAGCAGCTGCTGCTGCTGCAGCTCAAGTTCGCGAGGGGGATGCTGTTTTCGACAGTGTTGCCATGTGCGGAGGCACCACCAGCAACTGGCACGTCGGATATCTCTTCAGCGATCGACTCTTCTCTCTCCATATGCCCATTAGCAGCCTCTCTTACTATGGATAAATTTTCGGGAGGTTATTGTGAACCAAGGAAGACAGGCATGTACCTTTTCTGGAGATGGTGCAGCTTTGCACAGCCGTTCATATCATTGAGGAGGCTTTTCGTGTTTGGTGTTTTTGCGCGTGTCCGCCTGTCTGGTTGCAAGCTGCATTAACACAAATTGAATATATTAATTTGCGCAAACCAGAAGAAGCATAGACGGCAGCCTTAAATAGAGTTGCTCCCAGCACTCGTGGGGCCCTTGAGGGCTCGCGAGGCGGCGGCGCTGACGTGACCGACGCGGTTGCGACTCCTTAGCTAGTCGGCTCGCAGGGTTTTTATTCTAGTTTTTTTTGAGTTAATTCAATGTGATTAAGCTAATTTGTTTTTTTTTCTTTCGCCTATCGCACGAATTCGGCGAGTTGGATCTCATTTTACGTGAGCTTCGCACGATTGAGGCCCTGAGGGTCTCTCGGAAGCTCTTCGTGTATTGTGCAGCAAACGCGCCGTAAAGGCGGCGAAAACACCGAAAAGGGCGTTCTTGTTTTATTTCCCCTCCATACATGAAATAAAGGATGAGGAGACAAGGGCTCGCGTACGCCTATGGCATAGCGCTGCTCACTGTAGTTCTGGTCGGCGCTCCTGCTTCTGCTGCTGCTGCTGCTGGCGTGCTTGCTACCCCAGATGACCAGCCGTGCAGCTGCAGCGGGGAGACGCCCGCAGCAGCAGGCGTGAAGGTGGCGGCCACGCAGCCACCTCCTTCCATTTCGGGCTTGTCCCCTGAGGGCGTATACTTCATCCCCGAGCCTCTCCCCGCTGAAGAGACACAAGAAGCTTGTTCGAAGAAGCAGGATAAGCAGAATCAGCCGGATCAACGGGAACAACAGGGAGAGCAGCAGCAGATTTTAGGCCCGCTCTGCTCAGTGGTTGGCTCACAGGGCTGGGAGCACCCCTCTTCGTACACTGCCAGTATCGTTTTTGCCCCCGTGAGAGCGACTCATGCAAAGGCCCCACAAGGACGCCCTCATACTGAACTTGCTGCCTCTGGAAGCTCCAAAATAGCAGCAAAAGAAAGAGTGAGAGAGGGCCCCAAGACTGCCGACGAAGGGGTACCTGCTGCCGCCCAGAGCCCCCGTCCCGAGAGCCCCGACATACTGCCTGAACACATAGAGGGTGTGTTCTCTGCTGCCCAGAAGGAGGTGCAGCAGCTGCTGGCAGCAGACAGCCAAAGGAGCAGCAGTAATCGTGAAAGGGAACACCATCCGGAGGGCCTATGCAGGCGCGGCCGGGCGCCGACGCATGCAGAAAGGAGGCAGCAGTTTTTGCTGCAGTTCGGAGAAGAATATTCACTCAAGGCAGAAGAAACTGCTCAGAAGGAGCTGCGGAGGCTAAAGGGAGATATCTACATGGACTATGCGGGTCAGACACTGACACACACCAGGACTAGGACACAAACTAAGACACAGCCTAGCACACGGGCACAAACAAAGGTACCAGGAGAGGCAAGAATACGGAGGAAAGTGCAGGAAAGCATTTATACGTTGATTATAGTTCCCCTGTCTCGGCTGTGCCCGTCCATCTGTTCCGTCTGCCTTCGCGTTTTTCTGCTGTGTGCCGCCGTTTCAGTCGGATTTGAGTGTGTGCACGCTCTGCACCCAGTAGCTGCATTCCTTTGCATATCTGATCTACCAGTATCTCTGCATCTCTCGCTTTTCCTTCAAGGTTTTCTAAGTTTATATGTATTTTTGCGCCTCTCTTTGCGTCTGCACTTTCTGCCTGTTGGTTTCTGTGAATCTGCATCTGCCTCTCTCTCTCCATCTATGTAAGTCTGTGTTCTTCTTGTATCCGCGTATGTCTTTCTGTATCTGCTTGCATTTGTGCCTGCGCCTACCCACATGCTTGTGCCCCTGAGGTGTCTTCTCCCTGGTATGAGGGTCCCTTAGTTGCCTCCTGCATGTTTCGTTAATCTTTGCGTCTGCAGGCGCTGCCCCTTATCAAGAGCAGCAACTGCTGTCGGTCTTCAAGGATTTGGGACTGCACGCGTTCGGCAATGCGCACTCCCGCAATCCCTCAGCGAAGCTGACAGGTGACTCCTAGGCCTTCCTAGAGTCCAATTAAGCGTAAATCGCACGTATGTTTGCCTGTCATTTGCTTGCGTATGTATTGCTTTATTTGTGTGTGTGTGTGTGTGTAAGCAAATGTGAGTTTCTTTCTGCGTACTCGTTCTTGCGTATGCCATGCGTGCATGGACTTCAACATGCGTTATTCCGTTGCAAGTATATGTGCGTTAATGCACGAGTGAAGTACAAAATGAAACACGATTTTGCACGGGAAGGAAGGAAAGCAAATCAGGCAGTTGAGGTTTTCTAGATCCTTCCGCATGCACCGAAAACGCCAGAGGCCTCAGCCTTCAAGCAAGGTCCCACACACAAATAAATGAGTTTGTACACAATAATATGTACAGTCTTTTTTACACATACATGCACTAGTGAATGTACAGATGCAACTAAAGAAGAATATAGGTGATGTATGTATGAACGGCTGTACGTGGAAGTATATGCTTGTCTTGAAAGGTGCATATTGCCGGCAAACGTACTGCTGCAGCTTCTGCTGTAGCTCCTGCCGCTGCTTCTACAGTTGCCTTTGTTCCACAGATGAGAGGACTCGAGAGGCCCGCGAATTGACCCTGAAGTTTTTTGGTGCTGAGGAAAGTGATTTTGCAGTTGTCTTCACTTCCGGTAAAGCACCGAAATATTAAAGAGAATTTTAAGTCATACCGCTTTGGACCAGCCTCTTCTTGTTTCTGCCACAGTTATTTCTGTACTTCTTGCTGTTTCTTTCTAGTTGGTGTTGGCATCAATACTTTCGCTGCGGCTGCTGTCGCTGCTATCGTTCCGACGTGCTGTGCTATCATTGCTGCTGCTCCCCCTGTGTTGATGCTACTGGTGTTGCTGTTTGGTCAGATGCCTGTCTCTCTGCGTTCAGGCGCCACTGCAGCAATAAAGCTGGTTGGTGAAGACTTTCCCTTTGGTGAAAAATCGAATTTTTTCTATTTAAGAATAAATCACAACTCCGTCTTGGGCGTTAGGTGAGCTTTCTTCTTCCTAGCATTCCATTTGTGTTCTCGTTTTGTTGCTTTGGGTGGCTTGAGATCTGCTTGTAACTTGCAAGTATATGTACTGCCTTTCATCTCTTTTGTTTCTAGAGGGAAACACAGCCCGAATGGACGCCAGAAGTACCCGATACAACAGCCACTCGCACCACAGCTCGTGGTACAACTGCATTTGCGCTTGCGACTCCGTGTTTGTCTGCTTTTTAGAGAACTTGCATACGCCGCCGGAGTGGAGGCCGTGAGAGCGTTATCAGAACGCGAGGTGAACTCGATCTTGGCGGAGAGGGAAAAGGAAGGCTTGAAAACCGACTGGAGCGATAGCTCCTCCCACCCTTACTGTCTTTTTGGTTTTCCTCTTAAGGATAACTTCAACGGCACGTCATACCCCCTTGAATGGATTGAAAAAATTCACAAGTAAGACAGCACCCGCCCTGCCAGAGCGTTTTCTCTCTTTGTCTCATCAGCCTTGCACCTTGTTTGCTCGTACGTGCCTGGAAGTTCCACCACTGAACTAATGGATCTTAGATGAATTTCCCTTAATTTGCTCAAGTAGGTGATGTCACTGTCTTTTGGCGTCGTCTGTGGCTGCGCACTGCAGGTTCGGGCTTTCCGATGGCTGTCGGTGGCTCGTCCTCCTTGATGCAGCTGCTGCGGCGCCGACGACACGGATTCAGTTATCCGGGAATGGGCTGGAGAAGGCTGCAGACTTTCTAGCGGTGTCTTTCTACAAAGTGTTCGGATACCCCACAGGATTGGGAGCTCTAGTGCTTAAACGCAGAGCCGCAGATGTTCTCAAGAAGGTGTGGAGCCTTTGCTGCTCCCTAGCATTTTAGAAATAGGATTTGCGGTGCTAAAGTCAATTCGGAGCGATTTCCGCCAGCAGTGGCTCTACTAAAAGCGCTTAGAATGGGAAAAATGTGTAAATCTGGGCGGGTGCGGATACGGCTGCAGGTCTATTGGGGGGGAGGCAGTGTTTCGGGCTCTCTATGCGACGCGCGGTGGCAAAAGCCGAAGAAGGACGTCTCTGCTCGCCTAGAGGACGGCACTGTCAACTTTCTTTCCATTGCTGCCATTAAGTATGGCTTTGCAGCTCTCCAGGTAGGGTTTTTCAAACTTACCGCAGAAAATCGCTCTTTACAGCTTGAATAGGGATACCTCGAAGGCCGTGTCGTGTGCACGTGCCATGTATGTAGGCAGTTGCTAAAGCCAAAATCAGGGGCTTTTAGAAGGGCATTTTGTCATGCGTTCTGTGCTTCAATGTCCCAGGCTATTGGAATGGACCAAATTGAACGGCACGTAGCGTCGCTGACTCGCCATCTCTACCGATCGCTGAAATCTCTCCGTCACCGAAATGGAGCTCCGTTTGTGTTTCTTTACTGGGGACGCACGGAGGAACCCTCCGGTAAGCTGAGCGTGTGATCGTACGCAGCGGGTCTGTTTGGTTGTGTTTTCTGCTTGCACCTTAGTGCTGTAGGTCAACAGCAGTGTCTTCGTGGTCTGTCATCCAGGTGTAGTGCGCGGCCTGCTTGGCCTTTGCCATCTCTCTCATTCTATGACCATTCCATTTTTCCCGCAGAATCTATCGATTTGCCTTCGGCTGGTGACGGGGTTTGGCTCACTACTGTGAAAATTTTATGTGGGCTGGGAGCATTCAGGCGGAATCGTGAATTTCAATCTACTTAAGCCTGACGGTTCATTTATTCCATTTGGAGAGGTGCGGCTCGACGTGGAAGTGTGGCTCGTCCACGATAATTTGGGCTTAGTTACGTAGGCGTTTTTGTTTCCTCACGTGCCGCTGCCTACTGAGAGCACTTTGGCTGTGCGCTTCTATCCAGGTTGAGGCCAGAACGGCTGCTGCAGGCATTCACCTGCGCACAGGATGCTTCTGCAACCCTGGAGGCTGCCAGGTGAATCTCCAAGTCCCTGTCAGTGTAACGTTACCCCCTGCATTACTCGTATATGTTGCCTACCACACACCTAGAAGGTTGCCTTCTTGCTCTGTTGTCCACTTTCCCTCAGGATTTTTTAGGACTAACTGGTGCCGAAATTGTCAATGCAACTCGCGCAAGAGAAAGTTGTTCAGACCCCAGTGGTGCCGTGCTCGTTCGTCCATCTTCAGATTTCGGTTGGATTGGATCTGGGCCACGGATTCATTCAAAGGCTGTTGGGTCTGTACGGATTTCTTTGGGGTATCTGAGCACGTTTGCTGATGTAGACGGTTTGGTTGACTTTCTTGTGCATGCATTCCTGTGGCAGTGATGAGGGCGAGCCGTATACGGCAAAAGCTGACAATGTATATGACGCTCAGCGGAGTCTGAAGTTCGCTGATGTGTTCAAGTGCCAATTCAAGTGATCCTACTGAATTGCGCGTTTCCAGCATGCAGAGTCCTTTGCTGTGGACCTAGTACACATGCAGTTTTTATAAAAGAAATCTGGACTCGTGAAAAGCCATGGAATAGAGATATGCAAATGCGGACTAGCGACTGAACATGCTGATTTCGTCCATGCTTGCCATGCTTGCGGTTGCCCCTCTGTGCAACATGTCGCATAGCATAGTTTTTCGGCCGTATTCCTGGCTGGCAATTGGACAGTATATTGACCAGCAGTGTAAATTTCATTTCTGCCGATATTTCATCGCGTGATTGCGAAGGTGGAAGCTTACAGCACAAACAGTCTACGGACTGGGGTGCAGCTCACGGCTGTCTAGAGTGCGAAAGATGGCTTCCTCTGTACGCACGATTTTCTCATTTGCCTGGTGATCTAAGCCTTCCTTTACCACATGAATTCCAGCGTCGCCACTTGCCAGCATTGGCAGGCATGCGCTCCAGATTCTCATATACACAGTTAGCGCAGCACTGAGCAGCGCTAGAATAGCTTGTGAGAAAGATCTCGCCTACAGAATACGATTCGTGACCCCGCATTCTGCTAAGTAGCATGAATACTGCATATTTATTCCTAAATTTATGTTTGTCAGCTATGTCAGACACTGTTTTAGTATCACGGAGGAGAACTGGCGACCTAAGGCGCCTCTGACTCCCATACTTTGCCGTTGAGTAGGTTGAAGCAGTTGTTTCCCGTCTAATGAGTACTCAGTTTTGACTAAAATTTGGCTAGATTTGGAGTTGTGCAAAGAAGCACCCAGAGGGCAGACACGCATTTCGGAAGAACAATGCTGCCGACGGTGTTATGCGCGCTGGGTCACTTTGCGGTGTCTTGACAGCCGAGGGAACTTCACTGTGATTACTGAATCAGAAAGCACACCAAACTTCGATTCTCACTTGGTAACTACAATTTACTTCCGGTAATTTCAGGTATTCAAGTGTCAGTTCCCTCAACAACTCACGGGCATCAGGCGCCATCTTGCAGTCCACCGGTGTCCCGTGTTCTTCAGCAGGCAGACCACCTCTCTGCACTTCTAAGCAGGTAACGACAGTTTGCGCAAATCCAAATTTTGGCCTTCTCATTTTCATATGGTGCCTCTTTTTCAGCCGTTTTTTTAGAACGGAGCCATCGGCGCGCTCCCTTTTTGGCCGACCGGAAGTTACGGGCCATCACTCCGATCCCTCTTTTCCCTATTCGCAGCTTCACTCTTTTTCACGAAAATGACGATCCTCTCTTCCCTTCGGAGATATTCAGCCCCGATTCTACTCGGTAAGCATTCCACTTTTTTTCTATGATTAAGGTTGAGTTCCGTAATTATTCGGCAATACCCTTGTTTTCCTTTCTCAGGTGTAGCCCTTCTCTGGACGCAGGATTCTTGGGCCATGTCGGCCAAAGGATCTGGTCCCCGCAGAGAAGTTGATTTACAGCAAATACTGGCGATTTTCCCTGGTCTGGACGCAAGATACCCCGTGATCCGTGAAAGCCCTGGCCTCTTGGAAGATATTACTGATTTTCTCGAAGAATATGAGGAAGTCCCAAAGGAGGAGCTAGAGGCTGCTCTCCGCAGGTTCCTCTGTGAAAAGGGATACACAGCTTTCTGCTGCAGCGCATGCTTCACCACCACAACGACATCTGCCCCTGTAACAGAACCGTCCACAACGGAAGCAGTTACAACTGAGCCAAGTACAACTGAGGCATCTTCAACTGAGGCATCCTCAACTGAGGCATCTTCAACTGAGGCATCCTCAACTGAGGCATCCTCAACTGAGGCATCCTCAACTGAAGCATCCTCAACTGAAGCATCTTCTACCGAGGCATCTTCCACTCAGGGATCAACTGAGGCATCTTCAACCGAGGCATCTTCAACTGAGGGATCTTCAACTGAGGCATCTTCCACTGAAGCATCTTCAACTGAGGCATCCTCCACTGAGACATCTTCAACCGAGGCGTCTTCTACCGAAGCATCCTCAACTGAGGCATCTTCAACTGAAGCATCTTCAACTGAAGCATCCTCAACTGAGGCGTCTTCGACTGAGGCATCTTCAACTGAAGCATCTTCGACTGAAGCATCTTCGACTGAGGCATCCTCAACTGAGGCATCTTCCACTGAGGCATCTTCTACCGGGGCATCTTCAACTGAAGCATCTTCAACTGAGGGATCTTCAACTGAGGGATCTTCAACTGAGGCATCTTCCACTGAGGCATCTTCCACTGAGGCGTCTTCCACTGAGGCATCTTCAACTGAAGCATCTTCAACTGAAGCATCTTCAACTGAAGCATCTTCAACTGAAGCATCTTCAACTGAAGCATCTTCAACTGAAGCATCAACTGAGGGATCTTCAACTGAGGGATCTTCAACTGAGGCATCTTCAACTGAGGCATCTTCAACTGAAGCGTCTTCGACTGAAGCATCTTCGACTGAAGCATCTTCGACTGAGGCATCTTCCACTGAGGCATCTTCCACTGAGGCATCTTCCACTGAGGCATCTTCTACCGGGGCATCTTCAACTGAAGCATCTTCAACTGAAGCATCTTCAACTGAAGCATCTTCAACTGAGGGATCTTCAACTGAGGGATCTTCAACTGAGGCATCTTCGACTGAGGCGTCTTCCACTGAGGCATCTTCAACTGAAGCATCTTCAACTGAAGCATCTTCAACTGAAGCGTCTTCAACTGAAGCGTCTTCAACTGAAGCGTCTTCAACTGAAGCGTCTTCAACTGAAGCGTCTTCAACTGAAGCGTCTTCAACTGAAGCGTCTTCAACTGAGGCATCTTCGACTGAGGCATCTTCAACTGAAGCATCGTCGACTGAAGCATCTTCAACTGAGGCATCTTCCACAGAAGCTTCGTCCACTGAAGCTTCGTCCACTGAAGCTTCGTCCACTGAAGCTTCGTCCACTGAAGCTTCGTCCACTGAAGCTTCGTCCACTGAAGCTTCGTCCACTGAAGCCTCATCTACTGAAGCCTCATCTACTGAAGCCTCATCTACTGAAGCCTCATCTACTGAAGCCTCATCAACTGAGGGGTCTTCAACTGAGGGATCTTCAACTGAAGCATCTTCAACTGAGGCATCTTCAACTGAGGCATCTTCAACTGAGGTATCTTCAACTGAGGGATCTTCAACTGAAGCCTCATCTACTGAAGCCTCATCTACTGAAGCCTCATCTACTGAAGCCTCCTCTACTGAAGCCTCCTCTACTGAAGCCTCCTCTACTGAAGCCTCCTCTACTGAAGCATCTTCAACTGAGGCATCTTCAACTGAGGGATCTTCAACTGAAGCCTCATCTACTGAAGCCTCATCTACTGAAGCCTCATCTACTGAAGCCTCATCTACTGAAGCCTCATCTACTGAAGCCTCGTCTACTGAAGCCTCGTCTACTGAAGCCTCGTCTACTGAAGCCTCGTCTACTGAAGCCTCGTCTACTGAAGCCTCGTCTACTGAAGCCTCGTCTACTGAAGCCTCGTCTACTGAAGCCTCTTCAACTGAAGCCTCTTCAACTGAGGCATCTTCAACTGAGGCATCTTCAACTGAGGCATCTTCAACTGAGGCATCTTCAACTGAGGCATCTTCAACTCAAGCGTCGAGCACCGAAGCGTCGAGCACCGAAGCGTCGAGCACCGAAGCGTCGAGCACCGAAGCGTCGAGCACCGAAGCGTCGAGCACCGAAGCGTCGAGCACCGAAGCGTCGAGCACCGAAGCGTCGAGCACCGAAGCGTCGAGCACCGGATCGTGCAGCACCCAAGCATCGACTACCGAACCGTCCACCACTGAGCCATCTTCTAAACTGTGCACAACCAGCGTCGCAGAGCCGGAACCCTGTAAAATCACCGTCACTACCACCATCGACTGCTTTGTCTCTTTCCTCTACAAGATTCTCCCCATCTTGAGGCCTAATGAAGCCGAAGCACTCACTTCCCACCTGAGAGGAGGCCGTGCATGAGCGCAATTTCAGCTCCGCAATGTATTTAATGTCTTTTTTACTTTGACCGAGCGCGTCATTTGTTGCTCCCACGCAATAACTCGAAACCGGAGAAGTTTCGCGTTTGAATCTTGTTTTTGTCAGTGGTCACATGTTCGTTGGTGATTTGTTTTTAATGGAGACGATTTTGACTCCCTGTAACCAGACTATCGCTCTCTCACTGCGAATCATTCAGGTGTGCAGGCAACTGGAGCGAGCCTTCTCGTCTTGTTTTAATAAAAATCCTTTCTGTAATGAAATAGAGTGGTATGATGAGAATATGTAAATCAGGCACTTCACATTTCGGCCTCTGCCTGGTGATTGATTTGTTCCATTCTGTATAGTAGGCAAATGAGATATAGTACGTTTCTAAAACGCGTTGCGACTTTGTGAGAACATTCGGTCAATCAATCGAAAGACAAAACAAAGTCTGGTGATCTATTGTTCTTATCGTCTTCACTGCTGCCTAGATTCATTCTTTTTCTCCTATGGCGTTCTGGGAAATCGGGAAAGGACGCTCAGTGGAGGTGTTTGTGACATTCAGACGAATCTCGCATTCAGTTCTCGCGTCCATTCAAATTGTAGTTTATATGCGCTCGAACATTATCTTCCAGCGCTTCAGACCGAGAAACTCTCATTGCGAGGCGGCGATTTCTGTGTTTTTGTGCACCTCTGTCTTGGTCTGGGAACTAGACATGAGAAGTCCACAGTGTCGACAGGAGCCCGAATATTTGGCATGTTATCTGATTCTCATATACAGGTTCCAAGATGCGTGGGCGATATGCAGCAATTACGCGAAGCCATGGGATGCTTATCTCTTAAGATGCAGCAAAAATCAACTCCAAATTCAGATGCGGCAGCGGGAGTTCTAACGCCAGATACACCCCACAGCGACGCCCGCGCATTTAGTCACCGTCTACTGTTTTGGCTAGTGCCGAGATACTGGGAAGCTCGCAGGCAAGAAAAAGCCTTGCTGAAGCTCTTCACGATGGGTGAAGCCGGGCAACTGAAGGGTGAAATGGCTGATTTGTCCCACGCATAGCACTCAGAACTGCATCATTCGCTGGACTTGCTACTGAGGCAGCCACCACTGAAACATGTAGCACCCAGCCCTGCAATATTGAATCTTCCTGCAACAGCGCGCCCAGCCCTGTGTAATCAAGCCCAGAATCACCATGTGTACCATAGACAACTAGGTTGCGAGACCCAAAATCGTGCATGTCACGATAAGAATGTCCACTGCTTCGTCACCTTCCTGCACACAATTTTGCCCACACTGAAATTTAAGAGTACTCATACATTTACTTTTCATATGAGAGGAGATCACTCACAAGCGTTGTAGTATCTGCTCGGTAACTTACCCGTACCAATACCAGTACCTTTCAAGGGGAACGTAGAAACGCAAGAGTCCTCACAAGTCACAGAAAAGGAAGTTCTATCGAATTTCCCCTTGGGAAGGAGTGGATGAACAGGATCGCTGCTGTAGAGGGTGGTCTAGACAAAAATTTAAGATGACAGGACAATACTGCATTTGGTTGCCGATTCTACTGCGAATACGGCAACTAGATAGGTGAAAAATGTTACAGGCAGCCAGTAAGCTATGTGCTAGTCAGGACTGCTTTCATTTGAACCACATGTTTCTTCCAAAAATGTCGAATCATCTGAGTAGCATCGGTGAGATCAGCGCTAATGTTCGCCGCGTTCAGCAAGCATCGCGATTCATAGTCCATCAGTAAACTAACAGCGCTTGTTTCTCTCCATGGGTGCCTGCTCGAGGTGGCAATGGTGGTTGTTCCACACCACACACAGCCAACTCTAGGCTGTTCGCATAAAGATATCGTTGTTTTTCTCAACAAGAGCTCCATTACACTTCTCACCCTGCAAAAGCCCAGCAGACAGGGGTGCCAGGGAAGAAGAAAATCCAAAATAAGTTCGCGTTCATAGCTTCATCGTAGTGGCTGGAATTGCTGAGCAGTTGCAGTGCCGTTATTTCTGGCACCCTTTCGGTGTGTGACGTTCCTGGCTGAGGTTAGCCATAGGCAGCGATGTTTCTCCGTGCCTTTGTCCGTCCTTTGAGCTCTCGCGGTGGCAAATGGCTGTGTGGAGAGCACCGCAAAAAAGTGAAAACTGCAAAGCTTGTTCGTTGTGGACGTTTTACCCTCTGAAATAAGGGACGGTCTACGTGGAGAACACGAAGCGTTTGAACAGAAACGAACTACGGCGTCATCATATTCGAATTGCTGTGCCGCGCACCTGTTATAGTGACACTGGAGACCATAGCTCGAGCTTGAGACTAGAAATGCCCGAAAATGAATGTAGCAATTCTTTGAACTTTGAGGAAGAAAGTGAACACGAATGCAGAAAAGCAGCTTCTGCTCTTTGCAATAAGGATATGAAGCGCCACCAGTGGCAGAGCACGTGCTTCGGCGTAATCTACCATATAACCCTTTTTGTTTCAAATATACTAGAGTACCTAGTGGCCAGTGTCCTGACCCACCAATGGCGAGTAATATTCATTCCCTCACTCTTCAACTTGAATCGTTTTCGTCGTTCTTTCGCACTATTGAGAGCTTTGTGCATGGCAGAGGCCCCTGTTAATTAAATTCTACATAAAGGAGTCAACAGTAGTAAAAAAAGGAGGATATGATCTTTGAATGAAGTCGAAGACTACTGAGGTGGAGTACACGATACGATTGCACCGAAACGCACTTCTCACCAAACACCACACCCCGCTTGTCCAGAAGTCGTGTCCGGGCGCCAAAGGCACGATCAAGGGTGACTTCAACTGTGTCCCAAGTAAACGTTGTAAAATTTGTGTTCTTCTTTATATTTGCATTGCTCTGCTGAGTGACTTTCTGCTGTGTCCTCTGTGTGCGCGTTTGCCACTGGCCAAGCTTGCGCCCCTTTTCTTTTCGTTCAGAGTGATCCAATTCGCTAAACTTGTATTTGGTTTTTTTAGTATGCCAATCAGTTCGTTTCTTTCGGATTGGCGGCTGAGATTGGCGGCTGAGATCGCTAATTCAAAGGCCTTGGCCTTGGCATCGTGCCACTTCACACAGTTGCTCAATTCAACCCAGGTACTATCCCACAGAAAAGCCAGCGCCAGCCCAGTCATTTAGTTCTCCCTCCCCCAATAAAGTGGTGGAAGACAGAGAAGCCAAGAAAATCACTTAAGAATTAGTTAGGCAGCAGGTTCAGGCATGGCGAGACAGGCACTCCTGGCAGCTATAAAGGGGAGGAAACTACTAAGATGACTTATCTCGCCTAGAAAACAGTCCACACAGGCAAAAGAACAAAACAAAATTGAATTTATTGCTCTGTTCAGAAAGAAAATGAGGGCGAGCGAATTACCTTTTCGTTTCAGTGATGGCCGCTCGCACACTGTAGTGCCAGGCACTACAATTGACCTTCGTCGCCACCCCTCGAGGCTTAGTAACGCGAAAGGGCATGAGTAATATAGAATATTTTAAGGTATAAGGCACCGTTGGATATTAGGAAATCATACAAGCGAATAGTGTGCTCGCTAGCCAGCACCGGGTATGGGGCTGGATGCGAGGTTGGTGCCGTGACTCAGGCACTGACCCTCAGCGAGGGTCAACAGTCAGTTCTATTATTTTGGGTTTTTCTTACCTCTCAATAATATGAACTCAGTTGTATATGGCCATTTAGGGTATACAGTAGTAGTTCGAGAGAATCATGGATTTTAGATAGTAGATGCAGAGTGTGCACTTAGTCAGACTAGCCCAGGGACCATACGTAGTAACAGTGTAGGCCAGCTACACACACAGCCCACAGCCCGGGGAATCCAGTGGCTTCCCTAGGCCACAGAAGTGTTTGTGCCATCTGTATTATAAATAATCCTAAAATCGGAACTTTTTAAAACTAAATTTTCAATGCTCGGAGGGATTTTGGAGCCATTTCACCCGAGAGAGCTTGTCGCGTTCTGAACTGTTCAGCTCTGGGGCGCTGCTGTCAAGTGTAGCTTTGGCTCAGTGAGATATACAGGAAAACTTCGTTTGAGCTGCACCACCAACAAAAGTAGCAAATAAATTCGAAGTTTGTGCGGGCGAAGTGCCATTTTTGCAGATTTTCTTGTCAGAACATAAAGTGGAACAACACACATTCAATGTGCCACAATGTTCTGCAGCTCCGGTGAATGATGTATATTCAAGAACCAGAGAGTTCCTTTCTAGATGGAAACATGCATCAATTTATTTGCGGTTTGAAGGAAAAGGCTTAATAATGTAATCCGATGACTTAATTCCTTATTTATTCATTATTTATTCATTTATTCGTGCTTCACTCAGCAGAACTGGCACAGAAGTGCAGCACGTGGAGAGCAACAACCCCTGTGGATTGACTCCTCGATTACCCCGAATGCTAATTAAAACAACAAATAAGAAAGGCAAAAGGATCGACGAGTCGAAGCAACAAAGCGACAAATCAAAAGTTGTTCCGACCCCACTCCTGAATATTCCATTTCAAGTTTGCTGCAAACAGGCAGCCCAAATCAGTTTAAACTTTTCCATTTTTTTTTGCCCCAGCATTTGCAGCTCCATTTTCAACGGCCTATTCAGCATTTACTTTTATTCTCGTCTATTCTGGCCTGCCTCTGCGCACCACCTTCTTGAACAGGCTGGCTGCCACAGCAGCAGCAGCAGCAGCAAAAGAACTGCAGAGAGAACTATTTAAACTGCTCACCAGCACACAAACCCTAGCCAGCAACTCGAGCCAAGAAATATCTTGCAGCCCTCCGCTGAAGGCTTCCTCGACAAAAGACCAAAATTAATGATTAAATGAATATAATAAATGAATAAAGGAATTACAAATGAATAAAGGAATAACAAATGAACAAAAGAATAATAAATGAATAAAAGGACAATAAATGAACAAATAATTCAGCAGAGACACTCTCTAATGCGCACAAACTTGAAAACAGCTTTCTTCAGAAAAGATGCAATGTGAGGCAAATGTAACTCCGCCTTTTTAGTGCTTCTTTTTCTGCACTTCTGCACTACAAGTGGAAAGCTAAAGGAGAAAAGAAAGGCATTTGCAGCAGTTTATTTGTCTACATTTGTCTACACCTGGGGCTGCATGCATTGCATGCATGCGCATGCAGCGGGGCTAGCTAGGGGCAGCACTTCTGCATGCATGCATGCAGAGCTTTGGCCCTTTGACTTCCACCAAGTGGGACTTAGCGAGAGAAAGCCCTCGAGGCAATTCGGGAAAGTTGAGACAAATAGGCCAGCCGCTGGGCCAGGCTGCAGCACTGTGGTGAGGGGAAGAGCCCCTAGAGTTCATCTCGGAAGTCCCCCTCTGCTGCTGCTGCTGCTGCACCCTCAGCAGCAAACAGCAGGTGCGGCTGCGCCACCCACAAGTCCGGGTCTTTGCCCCACGACCAGCCCGAGGGCCTTGCCTTCGAAACAGAAACCTCCAAGTGCTGCGCAATGGGGCAGCCCCTCCCGCAGTTGCTGTAGTTGAACCTGCGCGGCCCCAGCAGCAGCAGCAGCAGCAGCAGCAGCAGGTCAGCTGCTGCAGCTAGAAAGCGTGCAGCGTGGAGACACAAACGAAGCAGACACTCGCCACGTCGCCACGCGTGTACAGACGCAGCAGCAAAGTGGCAAATTCAAACGAAGAATTTGTGTTCTCGAACTCGAAAAATCTCCACAAAAAGAGGTAATTAAACATTAAAACTTAGCATAATAATAAATAAAACAGCATGATAATAAAGCGAAACAATCCGCCAGAAGACCCAGCAAGCAGCGCCACTTCGGGTCCCGACAAAATGCAACTTTGCAAGTTGAACAAAACCGACTTTCCGCGACAAATGCAGCAAATGCGGAATATTCAGTGCGAAAACTTGCACATTTATTGCCTACATATGCTGCGTTGAGGCCTGAAGATTGGAATTCAAAAGTTTGTTTTTCAACTTGACTGGCTGCCCCGTTCGCCAGAAGTCATTGCTGTCTGTACACTCCACCACGAACACCCCAGACAAGCCTTCAGGGTTGGGCGCCGCCGCAACCTGAAGCCTCACAAAATATGAAAGAACACTTTTGCAAAAGGAAATAAACAAGTACTTTTCGTAAAAGGAAATAAATGAATACTTTTTGCAAAAGGAAATAAATAAAAAGAAAGCAAAAGATGCATGGAGTAGAAACGAGCGGCGATGCAGAAGAATGAACACCCAGTGGTGAGGAAAGGTGGAAATAGAAAGCGAAGAAACACTTTTCATTTTATTTCTTCTATTCATTTTTACTTATTTCCCAATAAAGCCACTTTAGAAGTTCAAATAACCCTTAATGGCGCAGCAATGAGGCTGCAGCTGGGCACAGCAGTAAGAAAGCCGCGGTGTATGTACACCAGAGAACAGCAAAGACAGACAGAAGGCATGGGCTTGTCGACAGAAAGAAAGGCAGAAAGAGAAGAAAGTGGGGAATCCAAAAAGGCCAGAAAAGAGCTGGCTGGGGCCTCAGGTAGGAGAACGAACAGCAGCAGCAGCAGCAGCAGCAGCAGCAGCAGCAGCAGCAGCACCCACTTCGTAGTTGGGCGAGAGCGGGGCCTCCGCCTGTGCTGCTCGCAGCGTCGCCCAGCTGCCGACGTGCTGCAGCGCAACAGCAGCGCCGCAGGGCACTGCAGCGCCGGCCCCCGCGTACCCCGCAGCAGCAGCAGCAGCAGCAGCAGCAGCAGCAGCACCCCCCTTTTGCTGCTGCGGGTCAAAGGGCTCGGGGCCCTTCAGCGGCGGCGGCCGGACGAGCCAGAAGGAGGGGGAGTCGCTGCTGGGCTGCGCTGTCTGTACACAAGAGAAGCAAAGAAAGCAGCAAAGGCCTACTTCTCCTTCACTTTTATTTCCTCAAATATATTTCTGTTAATTTAATTCATCTTTTGCTGCTGCTTCCGAGGGCCCGCTGCCCTCCAGCAAATCCACGCATGAGGCTGACTCCGCAATTGAGACTAAACGCGGAAGCAGCAGCAGCAGCAGCAGTGTTGCAACAGCAGCAGCAACACTGCTGCAGCAGCAGTGCTGCAGCAGCACCAGCAGCAGTGTGGCAGCAGAGACCGGCGGAAAGAGGAGAGGGAAGTGGAGGCCAAAAGGACTTAAAGAAAGAAAAAGAAAACAAAAATGAACTTCTGAAACTCACCACTGCCTGCCCAGCCGAGGCGGAGCTCCAGGATATCTTCCCCGAGTACAGTCTGAGGTGTACAGACACCGCAGCAACAGCAAGCAACGCAAAAGCTGCAACAGAAAGTTGGCGAAAGTGGAGAACAATGACAGCTGCCGGGACTGACTGCAGCAGCAGCAGCAGCAATAGCTGTAGCAGCAGCAGCAAGAACTGCAGCATCAGCAAGAAAGCAGCTGCAGCAAACGGCGACGGCGGATGCAGCAGCAAAGCCTGGAGCCGCAGCAGGGAGTGGAGCTACAGGGTCGCCGCAGCAGCTGCAGCAGCAGCTGCAGCAGCAGGAGCTGACTTGTGTCGCGTGGCCTCGTGTTCAAGAATAATTGCGCTGCCGAAGGTGACGGGCTGGTGCTGCTGCTGCTGCTGTGCTGCTGCAGTGCTCTGCAGCCAACTGACTGCGGGGAGCAGCAAAGAAAAGAAGTGCAGCGAAGCCCCCATTTGGCTGGGAAAGCCTTAAGGAAAAGGCAAAGGAAACTGAAACGGGGGGCCCGCAGCAGCAAAGAAGGGCGAGACAGCAGCAGCAAAGAAAGAAAATGCCACAGGGGAGGCAGGAACTGCAGAAAAAAAGAAATGAATGCGCAGAAAGCGAAGGAAACCGGAAAGTGAACTGCAGACAGGTGTCGAGACACCCCAGCGTCCCGCGGCGAGCCAGCGAGCCCGCGGCCGCCGCCCGCGGGCCGACGAAGAGTTTTGAGAAAATAAATAAAAGGGAAAAGTAAAAAAAGAATAAAGCAAGCAAAAAGAAAGGGCGAACTGAAGAAAGAACTGCGAAAGATGCGAGCAGCAGGGCTCAGTGCATGTCTCGCGAGCCGCCCGTCCCCGGGCGAAAATAAATGAAAACCGGACTTTCGCGTCTATTCACCTTTTAAATCTGCAAATACTTCTTTCTTTTTAGTTCAACAGAAAAATAAACGCGACTAACCTACACAAGTTCTTTGCCTTGGCAGCGCGAGGTGGCCGCGGTGGGCGCATGCGTTTCCGTCGGTTGCTGGAGCCCAACCTCCGAAGAGCCCGTTTAAACCCTTCTTTCAGCTTTTCAAAATGTTAGTTTCTTTATTTCAATCATTTAAAAACATTCAACCCGAATTTTGCAAATAATCTCCCCTCCAAGACGCCCAGTTCAAAGTGTCAAGACACCCGACTCGTGTGCAAGCAAAGCTGTGTGGCGAGGCAGCAAAAGCTGCTGCAGTTGAGCGCTCTTTTTGTTCCTCCTCACTTCCCATTTGTTTATTTGTTTCCTTTTTAAGAAATTTATTCATTTGAGCTTTTAAAGTCGCAATTCTCTGCATTCAAGGATCGCTTCCCAAACCCCTAAGCCCGTGCGGGATCCGATGAAGTCCCGGGTGAATTCAAAGATAACTAATTGGTGGAAACTTTCAGTAAATAAAGACTCAGAAAATTAAAAAGAAAAGTGAAATTAAATAAATAAATGAACTCCGAAAGAACTGCTCACTGCCCCCGGTATGAAGTCCCTCCTTAAATTCCCAGCGAAAACAGAACAGCCGAATATGCACAAGGCCGCTGATGGCCTCCTGCGCTGTTAAAAGGAAGCAGCAGCAGCAGCAGCAGCAGCAGCAGAGGAAGCAGCACCTAACGGCAGATATGAAAGGCAGCAGGTTGCTGCAGCAAAAAGAAAGTCCGCTGCACTACAAAACTGACTCATTTGCTGCTACTCTGTTACGCCCCTATGGAGAGTTGCCGCACCCTCTAAGTCTCTGTGCTGGCAGCTACACTCTAAACCCTAAACCCTAGACCCTAAACCCTAAACCCCAGACTCTCCAACTGCGTGGCGGTTCTTCGCACTCCCATCTGGATCTGGCTGCCGCTGCAGCAAATAGAATGAAGTGCTGTTCGCTGCTGCACTTTCCTTGCAGTTGAGTTTCAAAACGCCTTCTTCGTTTTCCCGCGGAGCAGCCCTGCTGTTGCTGCTGCTGCTGCTGCTGCTGCTGCTGCTTCCGTGCGGTGCTTCTGTCCGTCTCTTTATACTTGTTGGCTCTGTCGCTGTTTGTCCTTTTGGACAAAGACAAAAAGAAAAGCAGACAACAGACAAGCAACAACAGCCGCACGAACAGCCGCCTCCTTAACCCCGACGCACACAAAGTCCCCCAGCTAGCTGCGGCTAGCTGCAGCTAGCTAGCTGCAGCTAGCCGCAGCTAGCTGCAGCTGGCGGCAGCTAGCTACAGCTAGCTACAGCTAGCTGCAGCTGGCGGCAGCCAGCTAGCCGCAGCTGGCCAGTGGCCCAAGTGGCTAGCTGGAGCAGCAGCTAGCTGGGGAGGAGCGAGCCAACAACGAGCTGCAACTAGCCAAGACGCTGCAGGCAGGTAGCTAGCTGGCTGCAGCCCGTTGCATGCTTGCGAGGGCTGGCTAGCCAAAGGCCGCCTGCAGCTAGCCAGCCGCCAGCTAGCTGGGCGCCAGCTAGCCAGCTGCAGCTAGCTGCTGGCGGCCAGCCGCTGCAGCCGCCGCAGCTGCTGCAGCTGCTGCAGCAGCCGCTGCAGCTGCTGCAGCTGCTGCAGCTGCTGCAGCTGCTGCAGCTGCTGCAGCTGGCCACCCACAGACGCCCCACAAAGTACTTCAGCACTGCGTGGCCCCAAATGCAAATGGAGAAAAGCCGGCGACGAAGAGAGCACAAAAGAGGATATGAAAGGCAAAGATTTCAACAAGTTCAAGAATTCAAGTTGCGACAAGACGCAGAGTCGAAGTCAAAAAATAAAACAGCAAGCAGCCAGCAGCATTAAACTTCGCCTTAACAACACAAATAACTCGCATTCTAATGCTGTTGAAATGCTCAACTACTTCTTTCGGGTTCATTTGCTTCTTTGGCGGCTGCGGGAGGGAGCCCCAGCAGGCGCGCCGGACTGCCTCTCCGGATTTCTTTATTCTTTTCTTTTCTTCTTTTAATTTCATTTTATTTTCTAAGTTTCTTTCATTGCCTGTTGGATGCGAAAGCGGCTCCACTGCGGCGCGTCGCCGCCCCTCGGATTCAAATTCAGCAGTTGCCTCACGGTAGCCAGGAACGGGAGCTCCGTCCTCATTTCCTCACTTTGTCTCTCCGCTTTCCAGGGATAAAAAGCATCATTTAAATGTTTTAAATGCTTTTAATTCTTTTGCTAGTCCATTGCGTCCTCTTCATCCTCGTTTCCGTCCTGCGGCTTCACTTCCTGCGTGACCAGCTTCGTGCCGTACTTCGTTCCCGGCTTGCAAACGCCTTCTTCGTTCAGCTCGCACACCTGAAACAACAGAAACATTTGCGAAAAGTACTAATCATTTAATCCATTATTCATTTATTGATTATTTAATCCATTCTAAACCATTATTCGATCCATTCTCTGCCAATTCAATCGTCATTCCACTCATCCGGAGGCCTCCATGCATGATGCGCTCTCGTTAGCAGACAGCAACGAGAAGCGGAGGCAATCAAAAAAGAAATATCAAAATGAACAAATATGTCAAAAAAAGAAACACAAATGAAATAAAATATAGAACGCAGCCCAGTTGGTGCCCCACACTGCCCACATGAACTGATTCACAGTGCTGCGGCATGTGAAGAAGCAGATAGATATGAACAAAGAGCAAACAGCCAAGGAATAATTGAGCTAATAGGAATATGATTAAATAGATAAACCCTTTTCCACAAGCTCAAAAAGATAAAGCGAAAAAACAAGCTGACAAGCAAAAGAAAACATGAAAAACACGAACGAGAAAATGACAAGTGGCCTACAATCAAGTTGAGCTGATTGGGGTTTGTGTTGGAGCGCGCCAAGACGGCTCTGTCTCCCGCCTTGAGTTTGCCGGAAATCAAAAGCGGCGCCACTCGGGGCTTTATGTACTTCTCCAGGTACCTGAAGTGCAGCAGCAGCGCAGCAGCAGCAGCAGCAGCGCAGCAGCAGCAGCAGCGCAGCAGCAACCCGCAACAATTTTGACCCCATTTGCCACTTCTGGCTTCTCACAGACACAACATGCAACTGCGGAGAGCCCAAGAGAACAGCACGGGGGAAGGTTAAGACTTGTGCAGCCCAGCCCAAGTCCTGCACAGCCTAAGTCCTTCAAACCCTAAACCCTGCACAGCCCAAGTCCTGAACAGCCAAGTGTTGCAAACCCTAAACCCTGCTGCAGAGTTTAAGGCTTGAAAGCCCAAGTGCTGCAAACCCTAAACCCTCAAACGGGAAGTGCTGGCCTCCAAGTGCTGCAAACCTTAAACCCTGCACAAGCTAGCTGCTGAACAGCCAGTGTTGCAAACCCTAAACCCTCGAAAGAGGAAGCTCTGGCCTCCCAGTGCTCCAAACCCTGAACCCTCGAGAGGCTGAGTCCTGAAGCCACGGCGCTGCAAACCCTAAACCCTAACGCCTCACTTGGCCATTCTGCGGCCTCCGAACTTGTGGGACCAGGCCCTTTCCAAGATGTAGCCCAGGGCGGAGTCGGCGACTTTGAAGTCAATTCCTTTTGCTGCTAAACTGTTCCGCAGCGCCGAAAGCTTCAAGTTCAAAACCCCCTTCATGGCGGTTTCCCCCAGAGGCTCAAATATCTGCACGAAGCAGCAACAAAACCCTTGCTGCACTTAAACCTCCAATTCAAAGAAACCCTTTTCTTTTCGTCGCAAATGAAAAGACAAACAAATCTGGGGCCTGCTGCTGCTGCTGCTGCTGTGCTGCTGCTGCTGCGTTTCGTTGCCAGAGGCGTCGGAGCGCGCGGGCGCCTCAGCGGAAACGAGCAGCGAGCTGCTGCTGTTGAGGCCTTTATTGATTCGAATGCAAATTGAAGAACAAACTGAAAAAGTAATTATTTGATTTGGGATCTAATTGGGGGAGTTTGCTGAAAGAAGACCGGCGTTCACTCACGATGATCTCGCTCATCCTGCCGATGACCTGCGGCTTGAAGTAGCCGAAGACCTCCTTAAGAACCTTCTGGCGCATTCTCCGGAGAATGTCTTTGGGGGATTTGCCCGTGCCTTTGAAGGAGGACTTGCCGGGCTCTTCGCCGTTGCTGCTGCTGCTGCCGTTGCTGCTGGCCTTGTCCTTCTCGTTGCCAGCCGTCAGCGCCCGCACTTCCTTGTAACTGTCCAAAATGTACTGCTGGCCAATATTGGAAGTCAAAATTATCAAACAATTCGTAAAGTCCACCCGGTTTCCCTTCGAGTCCGACAGGTGGCCCTCGTCCAGCATCTGCGGCACCCACAGAAACCACAAAATTCAAATTCAAATTCCAATCCAAACAAAATCCAAATTCAAATTCGAACTCAAACCCAAATTCAAATATAATATAATTCAAATTCAAATAAAATTCGAATTCAAATTCAAATGCAAATGCAAATTCAAATCCAAATTCAAAGTCAAATGAAACTCAAATTCAAATTCAAATTCAAATCCAAGTAAAATTCAAATTCAAATTCGAATTCCAAATCAAATTCAAATATAATTCAAATTCAAATTCAAATTCAATTCCAATTCAAATTCACGTCCAAATTCAAATATAATTCAAATTCAACTCCAACTGATCCCCTCTCCTCTTCACGCCAACGCCCTCGAATTCAAAAAAAAGAGAAAGTTAATTTATATAAATATAATTTAAAATATATTACTCGAGATGATAAAGATAATAACAGCAGACTTAAATACAGATCCATTCAATTTCAAAATTCAACTTCCGGCTGCCTCCTCAAACCCCCTCGCCTCTTTTCTTAGGCCAACGCCCTCGTATTCGTTAACATAATATACATATATATATTTGTAAATAAATAAATATATATATATGTATGTTCAAGTATATTACTTTACACTATGACAACAGCAAACTTGAATTCATATTTATGCACATATATGTCTTATATACATATAAATATATGCATGCATATATATATGATATATATATATCTATATTTAAACATATTAGTGGATATTTATATGTATTCGTATGCAAATAAGATGCATGTATATATTTATATGAACCGAATCAGCCTCCCCACTGGCAGCGGCGGGGCTGTTTCAAGTTAAGAAGCTGCAGCCTGAGAAGCAGCTTTTGTTTTATTCTTCACTTTTATTTTTATTTTTATTTTTATCTATTTGCATTTTTTTCCGTCTTTTGTCAGTCCCTTCCCAGTTGCCAAAGAAACTAAGCTCCCTAACTCGTTGAAACCCACAAGTACAAATGCATGCAAACCCCCTCGCGAACGAAACATAATAATATGCAATCTTATATAAATATAAATAAATAAATAAATAGACAAATAAACGAATAAATATATATACCAAATACGTATACATACATGCTTTCAACGCGCACATGAGCGAAAGCAAAAACATGAAAATAAAACGAAGTACATAATCGCAGAGCTGCGAGCTTTAGCTACAGAGGCTGGGGGAAGCAAAGCCAAGGCTTGCGAGGCCCACCGGCAGCAGCAAAGACCACAAGTTCTTGTGCGCGTTTTCGACTTCGTCGAACAACACCACGCTGTGGGGCTTTTGGCGCACGGCCTCCGTGAGCTGCCCGCCCTCGTCGTTGCCCATGTAGCCCGGCGGCGGGCCGATCAGCCGCGAAATGCTGTGGGCTTCTTGATATTCCACCATGTCCAGTCTGATTAAGTTCTTTTCAGAGTCAAACATTTCCTCGGCCACCGCCTTCGCCAGCTCCGTCTTGCCCACCCCTGAAACAGGCACGAACGCGCGGCATTCCTCCGACTAAACGCGTCGTAAATGCAAAACTTTCACCATTTCAATGAAGGAAAAGCAAATTCAGATTATTTTCTGGGCTTTGTGGCCCCATCGCGGAAGCGGCGCCTGTGCTTTCAGCGGCGGCGCTTCAGGTGTATGTACACCCCAAGTTGCACAGCGCGCGAACTTCCACGCCCTCCGCTGATTCGCATTTTCTCTACTTTGCATTTTGGACGGCTCTGCTCGTTCAATTCTGGCTTGAATGCAGGGAATTCTTTGAAATGCATCGAAACATTCCAAATACATTCTTGAATTAATGCGCAAAAGACCATATTTCAAACTTTCCACCATTCAGTTTCAGCCCTCTCACCCGAAGACCCCAGGAACAGGAAAGTGCCCAGCGGCTTGTTCTTCGGACTCAGCCCCGCGCGCTGAATAGCCAGCGCGTCGGCCACGGCCTTCACTGCTCGGTCTTGTCCAACAACCCTCTGAACAAAAAAAGATAAAATCCTTTGCAGCTATTGCATTTTTGCAAGAATATACTCAAGCCGGGGCTGCTTGGCCGCGGGGCCAGTTGCAGCAGTCTTGCCCACAAACGAATTCAACAAAGATAATAACAGACACACAGCACAACCAAACAACAGCAGCAGCAGCAACAGCAGCAGCAGGTGGATGCCAGCAGCAGCAGGAGCAGCAGAAGCAGTAGCATTCACTAAAATTCCTTCCTCCCCACGAGGCTCGCATGCATGCATCCCCTTCCACTCCTGCGTGGCTTGCATCCATGTCCACGCACACTTTGCATGCATGCACGCATGCACCCATACATGCATGCACACATACAACACATTCCATACATAATATGCATGCAATGAGTGGCATGCAGACGCCGCATGCAGCCCCACCAGAGACAAAATGTCGGCGAGCCTCAACACCCGCGAGACTTCGTCTTCCGTCATTTTGCCCATCGGGATTCCAGTCCACTGGCTCAAGATGTGGGCCACGTCGTTGGTCTCCAGCACCAGCCGCCGCCCCCCCTGCAGCCCAAACGGCAAAAGAGTCAACAAAGTGAGTCAAAATTGATCGAAATGAATACAAACTAATCGAACTTAGTCGAAATAATGAACTGCTGGAGAAATGCAACAGAAAGAGCCTTGAAAGAAACAAAAAGAGGAAAAATGACGAAAAGTGCGATAACGAAAGCCAGCGCCTTTACAACGGGGTGTATGTACACCAGACGGCTGGCAAGAGGACAGCAGGAAATCCGAAGAACAAAAAACGGAACTCCAATTCAACTTCCGCTGCTGCCAATTCAACAAATGAAACGAAACTAAAGATAGGACATTAAATTAAATGCAAAAGGGAAAATAAATAGAATCGAAATGGATAAAAATAAAAAGAAGAACTTGAAATGAAGTGTCACGGCACTGCAGCTGCGCACCGCAGTGAGCGCCTCGAGAGCAGCCAACTCCTCCTGCAGTTTCTTCAGCTCCTCTTCTTCCTGAAAAACGAAAGAGAAATCATTTCCAAAAAGAACAATAGATAAACAAGTAAATAAATAAGTGAACTGCTGGAGGAGAAGACCAAAAACGGAGGAGAGCAGCTGGACAGACACTGGGCCAGCGGTCGAGGAGGAACTATGCTGCAGATGGAGAAACACTAAAGCGTTTTAAAGAGAAGAAAAGACAAAGAAATAAAGAGTTTGAAAGCGAAGAAAAGACAAACAAATTCCACAAGTCGAAAGGAACATTCAATTGAAATTAGAATTCATTTAATGTCCAGCAAAAGCACTCAAAACACCCGCAAGTTTCCGGGGACTCGGAAGCAGCAAACTGCAAGAAGAAGAAGCAAAGCCGGCGGCGAGCAGCAGCAGAGAAGCAAAAGAAAGAAAAGAACCAAAAAGAAGACTCAGAAGGGGAGAACCAAAGGTAAGCCCAGAAGAAGAAAAGCAGAAAACGAAAAAAGAAAGTGGAGAGGGAGGAGCGCGGGCGGCGCTGGCCGGGTGTCTGTCCACCTCGGGGAGCTTGTTCTTCTTGAGCTGCGCGATCTGCTTGTTGAGGACATTTATTTTTTTGTTGTGGGAAACGCGTTTCCAAGAACAAGACTCGTCGAGGAGGTCCAGCGCCTTGTCGGGAAAGGCCCGCTGCTTCACGTACTGGTCCGACATGTTCGTCACCGCCTCCAGCACTTCTTCCGGGATTTCCAGCTGGTGGAACTGCTCGTAGTGCGGACGCACTCTTTGCAGGATTGCTGCGCGCACACCCCCGCTGCTGCTGCTGCTGCTGCTGCTGCGGCTGCTGGGGGTCGAGACGGGATGCGCGCAGCTGCCAGGGGGATGCCACGGGCTGTTCGTGGCGAAGAAGACGGAGAGATGCACCAGCACCAGCACCAGCACCAGCACCAGCACCAGCAGCAGCAGCAGCACCAGCACCAGCAGCAGCAGCAGCAGCAGCAGCAGCAGCAGCAGCAGCAGCAGCAGCAGCAGCAGCAGCAGCAGCAGCAGCAGCAGCAGCGCCTTACAAAGGGCCTTCTCCTTGCTGGGCGCCTCCACGACGATGTTCTGGAAGCGGCGGCAAAAGGCCGCGTCCTTTTCAATGTGGAGTTTATACTCTTCCAAAGTCGTGGCCCCCACAAGCCTGAGCAGCAAAACACCAGCAGCAGCGGCAGCAGCAAAGTGGCAGCAGCAGCGCAGCAAAAGGGTCTCACGCAGCCAGCCAAGCAGCAGAAGACATCAATATCCACTTGTTTGCAGTTCATAAACAAAAACTTGAACCTCTGCATTGCACTTTAAGTACATAACTTTAGTTTTACAATTCAAATTCTATAAAGGACCCAATTTTATTTATTTAAATCCACTTTTGCACTTATTCAAATCGCCTTAAATGCACGTCTGCCCAGAAGCTGAGTGCAGCAAGCGCAGCAAGTGCAGCAAGCGCAGCAAGTGCAGCAAGCGCAGCAAGTGCAGCAAGCGCAGCAAGTGCAGCAGGTGCAGCAGCAGCAGCGGGAAGTGCGGGAGGAAGCGGCGGCGGCACTGGGGCGGGGCGCGGCGCAACCCCGATTTAGGGTTTGGGAGGGTTTGGGAGGGTTTGGGAGTTTGAAAGGGTTTGGGAGTTTGGGAGCTTGAAAGGGTTTGGGAGGGTTTAGGAGTTTGGGAGGGTTTGGGAGCTTGGGAGTTTGTGCGCGTTTGGGAGTTTGTGAGGGTTTGGGAGTTTGTGAGGGTTTGGGAGTTTGTGAGGGTTTGGGAGCTTGTGAGGGTTTGGGAGTTTGTGAGGGTTTGGGAGTTTGTGAGGGTTTGGGAGCTTGTGAGGGTTTTGGGAGTT